TTGAGCGCTCATATCCTATATACTACCTATATAAGACTCAATCAGTTATTGGTATTCCACTCAAAATCGTGACTGCCTGTGTATTCATATGAGGAAGAATGATATAATTCTTTTTTGTAATTATTTATACCTTAACATGCTTGGATCATTTTTCTTTTAATTCAATTATGCAGATGTGTGAAAAATTAGAGAAACAAGCAAGTTGGAGGTGATGATTACAAGGATGAACAAAGGTTTATGTTTCCATTAACTCAATACTTGCATTTCATATCATAATATTTTATCTTTATATAATATGTATTAATATAAATTTTAAATATATTCTACACCTTTTATATTTCTTATAATTTTTTAAAAATGTATATAAATAAACTCCGTACATCGTGCGGGTTTAACATCTAGTATATAAAAAAAGAGATGATAATCTTTTACCATTATCAAATGCTTCGTAGTTACTTCTCCAGCACCAATATTTCCCCAAAAATCTAGAATCATAGAAAAGCCCTCTTGAGCAAAGAATCGATTCTGCAAATACCGGAATCGACAAAAATCGATTTCGGATGCTTCATCTGATCTCTGAATTATTCGGCAAAGGGGAAGTCCATAACTCAAAATCAGAGTGGGTTTGTTAAGACATAAATTCCAAAGGACAATCACAACTTTTTGGATATTGACGTTTCAACTTCAGCATACACTTTCTACATATAGTGTTCACAACTCCAAGTGTGATTTCATTGTTGAAGTGAAACCAACAAATTAAAACTACCACTTCAAAAATAAATAAATAAACAAATAAAATTAAAACTTGGTTTATGTTCAGGATCGTGGTGTATTAGGGGCTGCTGCGTGGAACATTCAGGTAAGAGGCGCATTCGCAGAATCCTTTGCCAAACTATTAATAACGTAACAATTTTGGTGTTTCTTTTAAAAGAAATAAAATAAATTGCAGGCTAATTAAGTGGTTCCAAGGAAAAAAAAATGTAAATCCAATTTAGACGAAGGCAACCTTATAAAGAAACTAAATTAAATTGGACTATGTTTAGACTTTAGACCACTGTCCTAATTTCCGACCATATCTCTTTTACCCTGTTAAAGCAGAATACAAGATGTTGATGTGGCAACTTCTTATTAAAATTTTTTGGCTCCAAATGCACCATATTGCATTAACCATTCTGCCACGTGTCATCCGTTTTTAAAAGAAAAAAAATTCTTATCCGGAGAAACCAAAATTATTTTACAAAAATAGCTACACAATTTTAACTCCTAACATTTATCATTTATCAATCAAATTAAAATAGCATTTAAATTTACCCATAAATTTATCCCCTTTATTACTCCACATTTTTTTGTATGATTTCTGCATCGTTGTACTTTTCAATATTTTTTTTTCCTTTGGTAGATGATTTTTTATTTTTATTTTTATTTTTGGCTAAGAAAAGGAAAAAACCAAATGTGTAGCTATTTTATTTTTTTCAAATCAAGAATTCATTTATTTATTAACACAAAATTAAAATAGAGGGGCGCCCGGGCATCTGCCTGGGCCAAGCATCTAGTCTATGATTAATATAGTTTATTATAAATTCAAAGAGATGTGGACAGCTTCCATGTGATCCATAATACGTTTCACTGTTATTTGCTCTGGAACTGGAAGGAGATAAAAACTATGACGCCAAATACATTTTTTTTTTTTTAGAGTTTAGGGTATATTAGCATAATGCACAAAATTATGCTTGACATGCATTCCTTGATTTCTAAAAGATAAAATTGAAACTGTCTAAATCCTGTAATTTATATATCAATATATCCTATTAAAACAATAGTCCAAGAGAAAAAAAACAGGTTAATGTATCGCGTTCTCATGCATCCGTTTCCCGCCAACAAAAACTACGTAGTTTTGTGAAAGGAAATTGACTCCTACAATCTTTATTTGTGTTAACTTTCCTTATCCTTAATTATAATCAATTAATTAATATTAATAGAATAAGACATTAATGATATAAATAAATGATTCTTTTATTATTTCTAAAATTTAAACATAACAAGATGAGTTCAAGTTGAAAAATACTTTTACCATTTGTATATGTAATTTTAAAATATATAGTTGTACATGGGTCGGGCAACACCGGGACAAGCACCTAGTATCCTATTAAAACAATAGTCCAAGAGAAAAAACTAACGTGTCGCGTTCTCATGCATCCATTTCCCGCCCAACAAAAATTACGTAGTTTTTTGAAAAGAAATTGACTCCTACAATCTTTATTTGTGTTAACTTTCTTTGTCCTTAATTATAATCAGTTAATTAATATTAATAGAATAAAGCATTAATGATATAAATAAATGATTCTTTAATTATTTCTAAAATTTAAACATACAAGTTGAGTTAAAGTTAAAAAATACTTTTACCATTTGTACATTTAATTTTAAAATATATTATTGTAAATGGGTCGGGCAACGCTCGGACAAGCACCTAATTATATTCGATAAGAGTCTATTAAACAGTGGGAGTTTTTTTTTTTTGTGTTGGAGGTGTTATGTTAATTACATTTTCAATTTGGATAATCAACCAAGGAGAAGAAGTCTTCCGATTATCTTCATCAAACAATACGAATTACGAAATGCTCTAGCTACATGGAGGCTTGCAATGTCCTTTTCTCCTGTTTTTCTTAATTTGTCCAAAATGGTCTATATGTATTAGTTACAGTTTTCATTTTAATATTGTCTCAATGTAACATTTCATATTTACTCGATCCATCATAGGGAACACTTGTATTGCTAACGCTATATCATCACTAATTAAAAGGACAATATCCACATTACCTTTTATTATCATGAAAATTCAACTCTGAAAAAAAAAAAAAAGCTGGGCTACAAGTCTACAACAATTGAGGGCAACATTAGGAGTTGATTAAATTAAATATATACCATAATAATGTCCTTATAATGATAATAATTAAAACCGTATTCATGAATGTTTTTCATCTCAAAAGCACTTAACAGTATATCCCATTTAAAATGGATTTAAAAAATATTTGCGTCGTTGTAAAATGATTATCTTCTTTATTATGTTGTTATATCTTAAACAAATATGATAATTATTTTAAATCGGTTGGGTGAATAAAATGACATAGATTTTGTGAAATTCAAAGGGGAGAAAAAAAAGAAAAGAAAATTGTGTACCTCATTTTTACTCCCGAAAATGGGTCAATGATGATTGACGAGAATAGGTCGAAACATTGGCATTCATGGTGATCCCGATTAATTAGAGCAATCAGATTATATCATTCCAATTGTCTCTGAGAGTTTGGGTCACTGTGGGTCACACGACTTTTTAAGTAAATATGGGTTTTTTATTTGCCTCACTGATTAATATTGGTATAAATTTGCAGCATTATAATATATCGATTCCAAAAAACTTTAAAAAAATAAAAGTGCCATATACTTGATTCTGAGTACTGAAATGGGCGAAAAATGTCTGTAAAGTGAAGGTTAATTATGTGATCGATGTCCTCGAACGGACAAATGTCTGTAAAGTTAGTCGTTATGGAATTGTTCAAACATTAGTTGATACCGTCCTAACACTATACCATCTTCATGGCTGTGATGTAATCAGTGACGGAACGAGAATTTTCAAATCGCGGGGTCGAAAATAGGATTATTCAATCGTTACCGAAAGGTCGAACTGAAAAAATTTCAAATAACGGACACCCTACTAAGAAAAAATTTGGCCAAATCCAGCCGGTCGGGGGGTCGATCGACCACCCTGACCCCCCTTGAATCCGTCACTGGATGTAACAGTAATATATACACTTCATATGTCTCAAAATAATAATTTTATTTGTTATATTTAAATAAATAAATACTTTGGGGCGGCTAAATCATTTTAAAACAGAATAAATAATTTTTTTTTAAAAAAAAGTAAAGTAAAGATTGAGTGCTCGTGCTTTAATTTATTTTTCAATGTACCTAATAAATTTCTCAAATGATTGGAATAGCCATGGATATACATTGCATAGCTAGCAAATAAAGGTACGTATAAATCCAGCGCATGCTGTCCAAAACTGGTCGATGACACCAATAGAAAAACATCGTAAAAGATTATCTTTTGCTTTATATATATGTATTATCATGCATCTTTCTCAACTTTATTAGTTCTTAATGTATTGAAAGGTGTTATGCACTAAATTCCAACCTCCTAAAATAATTACGATCCAATTTTTGAGAGTAAGTAATTGTGCTAATTAATTAGCCCTCAAGAACTTGGAGGATTCAGTTATGGGGGCATGTATTCAATCTGGGAACGAAGCTTTGGATGTCACCTTGTAAAAAACAGTAACATTTACCCTTCTCCACCTCAAAAAAAAAAAAAAAAAAGGTTTGTTAATTAACTATATTAAGTTTAGGAAACAAAAAAATTTCAAACAATTTTGGCCATGATCTTTAGTCCGGCCGGATCTAGATATCTTTTTTATAATAAATATGTCAAGCTCCATATATACTAATTGATTCAATAGGTTTTGGACCTTTTGCCTTTTGGTGAAATGCAAGCTATTCCATAGTAGAAATAGCCGAATATTGGAAACTTTGCAAATGGTTTTACCAGTACGATTAATAATGGAAATCATATTTCTTTATTTCTTCACCTTTATCCAATAATCATTGCCTTTGAAAGTCGGGAATTTCGAGTTTCATGATCAGTATTGTATCTTTAGATACAATGACATCTTTCCTTCACAACAAAGTAGCAACTTTTGTCCCAAGTGCTTTTCAACCTTTGCACTGCAACTTCCTGGTGGAAACATCAAAGTGTGAAAGGTTGTTAGCAAGTCACAATGTAGGAAAGATTTAGGTCCAATTGAAATTGAGATCCCAAAGACGGCAATATAAACAATTATTAACAATAATGATTAACATCTACTTCATCATCAAGTACTATAAATAAATTTTGAGTTCTCAGGCTAACATCAAAAAGCGGAAAACTAAAACTTCTGCAAAGATACAGAATGGAGAGAACATCTACACTGGTTTCGTTTCTGGTACTGCCAGTGTTATTTTTTGCATCATCATTTCATGTCGATTCGGTAATGGCGAAAAGATCGACATACATTGTCCATATGGACAAATCAGTGATGCCCAGAGCTTTTCTCAGCCACCATGAATGGTATTCTTCCATTCTTAATTCCATCAAATCCACTCCATTAAACACCCATATCTATACCTACGACAATGTCTTGCATGGTTTCAGTGCTTCATTAACTGATGAAGAACTAGAATTTCTCAAAAAGTCACCAGGTTTCTTGTCAGCTTATAGAGACAGGCCAGCAGTTATGCACACAACCCACACCCCTGATTTCCTTTCCCTGAATCCCAACACAGGGCTCTGGCCGGCCTCGAATTTCGGGGAAGATGTCATTGTTGGTGTCATTGACAGCGGCGTTTGGCCCGAAAACCCGAGCTTCAAAGATGACGGGATGACGGCAATTCCTTCCAGATGGAAAGGAACCTGCGAAGCTGGAGAGGACTTTAATTCTTCGCTCTGTAACTTGAAATTGATCGGAGCTCGAAACTTCAACAAGGGATTCATTGCTGAGCATCCTAATGTAACTGTGATCATGAATTCCACTAGGGACACTTTTGGGCACGGAACGCATACTTCTTCCACCATCGCAGGAAACTATGTGGAGGGGGCTTCATTTTTCGGGTATGCAGCCGGAACGGCCCGGGGAATCGCACCCCGAGCCCGTTTGGCAATGTATAAAGTTGGATCGTTGCAAGGAGTTGCTTCATCTGATATTCTTGCAGGAATGGATCAAGCTGTTGCTGATGGTGTTGATATAATATCTATATCCATGGCGATCCCATCTTTCCCCCCGATTTACGAAGATCCGATCTCTATCGGGTCATTTGGAGCAATGGAGAAAGGGATTCTGGTGTCCAGTTCCGCAGGGAATAGCGGCCCTGGTCTTGGAACATCAAACAATGGTTTCCCCTGGCTAATGACTGTTGGAGCTGGAAACTTCGATCGTTGGTTCGGAGGATCAGTGACTTTAGGAAATGGATTAAGCATACTTGGATGGAGCATTTACCCTGTTTCAACCATTGTTGAAGACTTACCTCTTGTGTACAACAAAACAATTTCCGGTTGCGATTCAAGCGTTCTGCTCTCTTCTGCCGATGGAATTGTCATCTGCGATAACCCCAACCTCTATTTCCAGGGAGAAGCCGTTTCTATTTCGACCGTCCCGGCCGTCATATTCTTCTCAGATGATCCATCCATGTTTGATCAGGGCGAATTCAATTTCCAAGGTGTTGCAGTTTCCACTAAATATAAAGACATAGTCTTGAACTATACGATGAATGATGTCAAACCGACGGCCACAATTCGTTTCAACCAAACTTTCACCGGAATAAAACCAGCTCCAGCTGTTTCTGATTACAGTTCCAGGGGCCCTTCACCAAATTACCCGAATATATTGAAACCTGATATTTTCGCCCCGGGAACATTAGTTCTGGCTTCATGGATGCCAACTGATATTATAGAAACAATTGGTGACAGAAACTTCTCCAGCGGTTTCAATATTATCAGCGGAACTTCCATGTCTTGTCCTCACGCTTCCGGCATCGCTGCCCTTCTGAAAGGCGCCCACCCGGAATGGAGTCCTTCCGCGATCCGCTCTGCCATGATGACCACGGCGGATTCCCTGGATAATACCGGAGCTCCAATCAAAGACGTTGGTTTCAACTATGATCTCGCGTCGCCTCTGGCGATGGGAGCCGGACATGTGAACCCGAACAGCGCGATGGATCCCGGCCTGATTTACGACGCGACGTTAAAAGACTACATCAATTTCTTGTGTTCTCTCAATTTGACTCACGCTCAAATCTCATCCATCACTAGAACAACCAACAATGACTGTTCTAGCCCTTCGTCCGACATAAATTATCCATCCTTCATGGCATTGTACGAGAATGGGAACACCACAACATTGTCCAAGACTTTCAAGAGGACGGTTACCAATGTCGGAAATGGTGCTACCAAATATCAAGCTAAAGTGGTAGCTCCAAAGGGTTCTGTCATTACAGTAGACCCATCAGAACTGAGTTTCCAAAATAAGATGGACACTCAAGTCTACTCTTTGACCATTCAGTATCAAGGTGACACTAATTGGACTGTGAGTTTTGGTTCATTGAGTTGGGTTGAGGTTGGAGGAACACACATTGTGAAGAGTCCAATTGTGGTTTCTCCTACTGATTTTCAGAGTGAAGGATTAGTGCATTAAATGATTAGAATTAGCCAAATTTCTCAGAACTTGAAAGGGTGATGGTCGGAATTTTCATCCTATAATGCTGATTTGTACACCACAGATGAACTGAAATGGAATAAATGAGACTGTAGGAGCTTCAATTTTCATAACAGGTGTAGGCTTGTAGCTAACAAGTAACTATGAACATATATTTTCGGTATTTTATGATCCTACATATCTTCATTTCTGATTTACTAATTATTGTGTTTTTTTTTTTATTTTCAATAATTTTGTTTTTCATTTCGGAAAGGGGAGAAGTAGTATATTGAAAAGGTTATAAATAATTGCACCAAAAAAGAAAAAAAGGCTAGAGTCTTATAGATATATTCTATGAATAGTTTTCCTGAAAGCCAGTTCTTTTTAGGTGTCTTGTGTAGCTCCATAGAGCGCGTTAGCTGTTTAGGGGCTGTCTTCATAATATAATCGGATGAAAAAGGCATTTTGAGTTTCATTTTCAGGACATGGTCACTTTTGGTCCCCCGCAGGCCGCAGATATTGGCGGGGCAGAGAACCAAAGGATTTTTGAAAATTAACATCCAGGCTATTCGGGAGATTCTCGATCGTGATTGGACTGTGGAGTTACGACATGATTTCGGAGAAACTAATTTTACAGCGGATTATTTGACATCCTTAAGTGTTAGAAGCTCTTATGGGTTATATGATCCATCTCTGGATATTGAATTGTGGTTGGAGCACGATGTGATCAGAGTTTTATATTCAAATACGATTTTAGTTTGATGTAACTAGACATTTGCCTCCTTTATTATAAATCTAGATTTGTTCTTGTCGCGGTACGCGCGACCAATTTGAGGCATATCAATATGAATTCAATTCAAATGATCACGTGGTCATATGGCTTAATGAAATTCTAATAATAATTAATATGTGATGCCGGAAATACAATTCATCCGCACCACCATGTGTTTCCTGGACGGCGGATTGCTTACATTACTAACATTGGAAGCCCAACCAAAGTATGATCACCATCTGTTTGTTGGACGTCGGATCTACACCATCGCTACCATCTGGAACCAGGAAAAAAAATTCAGGATCAATTCTTCTTCCTTTCGAGAGATTGACCGTCACGCCACCATAGCATAACTATTGGATTTTGCACCCAAGAAGATAATTGAATTTAGAGGGGATGGTGAAATGGAAGTGACAGAAGATTAGATTGAATTTGGGGCAAGGAAAAATTTGGTGGGGAAGGAAGACATGGAGAACGGCCGAAAAAATTGGCAGTAAAAATAGGCACAAAAAATGACATTTAATTGGTAATGTTAGGTAGTAAACGTCGTGGTTTAGTCCGCCATATTAATTAGGTTATTTTTCCTTGCTAATGACATATTCGATTGGTGAAAAAAAAATAACTTTTTTAATTGACCATTGTAGCCTTGTTTTAAATTATTGATGTCATGTTAATATATTAAGCAATCAAAGGGCTCAATTTAAAATTGATAATGTCATGTGAATTAATAGGCGAATCAGAATACTCAATTTAATTTCTGACAAATCATGTTCAGAATTCTAAACTCACAAAGAGATATTTACTTATGTACATATAAAATAAAAAATTTAACATCCAAACAGAATCCTTTTTAATGAAACAACCAAAAGAAACTAAATGATGAATATAGTACTAAGCGTCGATTGAAGTATAATAAAGTTTCATATTAAGGTAGAAGTTTCCTTACATATCTCCCATGTCTTTTTGTTTTTTTTTTTTTTGTTTTTCACAAAAAGACAGGTATATTGTTGTATTTTTGGGGCCTATGCTGTAATTCTAGCCTTTTCAATAGGGAAATTGGTTAATAATCTCCATCACAGAAATGATTGACTTTTATTGAATAGTACAATTATTTTAAAACGAAAAGATTATATATTACGCAGGTGCCAAGTCGGCTTGATAAACTTGATATTCCGGGTTCACGCTACGTTGAGAAAATTTCTGTTTACACTTTCTTTACACGCATTTTTCTAGTTGCATGTTTATCGATTCAATTACTTAATGATCTTGCAACTCGCAGGCGGTATGTTGTGGTTTTGTGAAGCTATCTAAGGTCAGGTTTAGATAGTCATATTGCTTAGAAAGCCGCACCTACAATTCCTTGAAAATTTGAAATATTGAATTCATGTCTGGCGTACAAATCAATAGCAAGTTAATTAATGCACGAACCTCAATTGGAGAAACCACAATTGGACTCTTCACAATGTGTGTTCCTCCAACCTCAACCCAACTCAATGCACCAAAAAACTCACAGTCCAATTAGTATCACCTTGGATATTTTAAGGTCATGAAGTAGACTTGAGTTTCAAGCCTGTTTTGAAAAACTAATTCCCGTGGGGTTATTTCAATGGGGAAACTCTTTGGAGCTGTCACCCTGGCTTGATATTTGGCCGCACCATTTCCGACATTCGTAACCGTCCTCTTGAAAGTCTTGGACAAGGTTGTGGTATTCCCGCTTTCATATAAAGCTATAAAGGATAGTTTCTGTCAGATGAAGGGCTGGTGCAATCATAAGCTAGTTGTTGACCTCAAGTGCACAAGAGATTCCAGGGATTCATAGAGGGGTTCGTACTAAAACTGGAGCTGTAGAGGCCTTCTTCAATTTGTACTGAAACTGGAAATCCAAACTGTGGATAATAATTTTACTGACGGTGGGAGTAGTTGGTAGTGAAACTATACAAGTATCACATGTTTCTTCTTAATATGGCCCTTTTTGTTATCTGATTTCCAAATGGACATACATATTTGTCACGCTGAGACTTGGTAACACTTTCTTCTAATACACTCTAAGCTTCAAATAGAATAGAATTAATAGCGATTGACAAATTAATGTTGTTTCTTCGTATAGTTTGTATTGAACACAATATTTTCAAGCTTCAAAGAGGCAATTACAATTTGTTGTTAATGGATTGCCCCGGAAAAAAGTTCAAAAACCGCATTAATTGGTGATGCCATTGAGTGTAATAATATATATGTATATGGAAAAATTCATTTCCTCATGTTCTAGGCTCCCCTATCTGTGTAAAAGAAAGGGAGTTCGCCAATTGCCATTTAGATTCACTTTTCGTTACATTTTTGCTCTAAGCTTCGAGAAAGTTGATGATACATTCTATAACGAGATCAACGACAATTTTGGCTGTTGTTATTATTGTCATCAACTAGTTTTGGACAATACGTCGTTGGATTATACCTTTATTTGCAATTGCAAAGCTAGTTTCCATGTCTGTAAATAAAAGAAAAGTTCCATGTCAGTAAGAATGTGGGTTTAGGCGATGCATATGGTTAGTTCAAAAGTTTGATTAAAGTCCTTATTTTCATTTTCCGTGTTTACCTTATCGAAAACGATGTTTAATTTTAGTCCCCGACGTATAACATGACTATTGTGCATCATCAACTTACTTTGAAAAAATAAAAATAAAGAAAATTTACGTCGAAAATTTCCATGAATGAAATGAACTACTATTGTGCATCAGGCCCCTTCGATCAAGATCGATCATTAGAGTCATCAACGAACTTTTGTGTGGGGATTGGATTAGAAAATTTGTATGTAGTATGTACTATCCGATGTCAACAGTGAATTTTATTGTAATTCTACAAATATAAGATTAAGTATTTTAACTTTGGCGTCTTTCATTGTACCCAAAAAAAAAAAATCAATCTCGTATATGTGTATAAGTTTTGTTTTCCCCTGGTAAACTGATCATTAGCATTTGTCTTTTTTTATTACAGTTGTCCCATAAAAATCACTAATTAATATTGTAATAATTTATAAATTGTGTTGAAAATTATATAATTTATTATAATTTAAGACCATTTTTATGAAATGGAAGAAGAAGTAATTTTTTATTTATTACTTTTTAAAATGACTTAATATTACTTCGATCTTTGGGATTTTCAAAAAAAAAAATCAAAGTTTAGATTAAATTTACCCTTTATAAATAAGATTAAGCAATCAGCAATTGTTGGTCCAAAACTGCACCTTTCCATTAAAAAGCAGCCAACTCTGATAGAATTATCAATCCAAGGACGATGATAAGTATCATTTTAATTTTAAAAGAGGGCCGCAGCTTTTAAAATCTTAAAAAATGATGTTACAATATTGAAATTCTTTTTATGGGCATAAAGATATTTTAATACTCTGTTACAGCACTATCACTTTGTCTTCTTTTTTTTTTTACTCCCCCGTCACAAAATTATTGTTCAGTTTGAGATTTCACTTGTAGTACAATTTGAACTAGAAATGAAAATCCAAATTGGATAATAATTATGGGACAGAGGGAATACAATTTTTTTTAGAAAAAAAATGTGTTACGGCAATGTCCTCCACCAATTCCCGTGCCTTACTCTCATTACTCTCATTAGTCTTCCCATAATTAACAAGAAATATAGTAGTACTACAATTAAAGGCAAGGAAAAAAAAATCATCAGTTACATATATACTTCCTTCTATGTTTTTTTTTTTTTTTTTTCCCAGAAAAGTTGTAAACTGCTTTTCTTTGAATGGGTTCATTTGCATTTTAACAGATACACTGTATAGTTTAACTGGTGCTCTGGATGCACTATTTCTTGTTAATTAGGATTTATTGAGAATCACCATTATGTTATTACTATTAACATAAGAAAATTTCCATACAAAATTCATTGGCGTTACTTGTTTAGCTGGCCTTCATATGATTTCTTGAAACTGATTCATATGATTTTTAGTTCCAAATTTAAGAAATAGAAAATAAAAAAATATAATATTGTAAAATATTTGTCAAAGTTTTCAACCGTTGGATCATTGCATCAAGACATTGTTTTCTTTCCCCAAAAATCCGGGCAATCCCTTTGATCGTTTGTGTATGTGGGCGGTGGAGATCCAACAGGCCGCAAACGGATAAAACCCGGAAACCACAATCGGGTTTCCCTCAATTTCAAATTCAAATTCCAGACCTATTTCGGTAAATAACTCTTGGATCATTGCCCTTTTAACATAAATCCCTTATATAAAGCGCTCTTCAATTCCACATTTTACTCGCTCTTCATTTAAACTCCAAACTGCCGTCACAGAGTCCCGTCCACACGCGTTCCAGTTCCGGCCATTTTCTAGGGTTTTTAATTTTAGCAATCCATCATGTTGAAGCCTGGCTCTAAGGCGGAGATGCGCCGCGGTCGGTACAAGGTGGCGGTGGACGCCGAAGAAGGCCGCCGACGCAGGGAAGACAACATGGTGGAGATTCGTAAGAACCGCCGCGAAGAAAATCTGCAGAAGAAGCGCCGTGAGCTCTCGCAGAACAACCAGCAATTCGCTCCTCTTCAAGACAATCAATCCGCTGGGAAGAAGGTTTGTTGAGTCACTACACAGTTTAATTTTGTTTTTAGTGGTTTTTTCTTCTTTTTTTTTCTTTTTTTTGGTTTAATAGTGGTTTTATATGAATTTTTGGATATCGATTTCTTGACCTAAATCTGTTCTTAGGACTATTTGATTGAATTAAAACTGTTGATTTTGTCATAATATTATATAGTTGGAAACTCATTTTATTTATAGTTGTTTCTGCAGATTTTTGTTACGGTTACTCATTAAATGTATGAATATTTGGTTGATTATTATAACGGTTAATCACTTTAGAGTATATTTGGTTGGTTGATGATTTTAACGGTTAATCATCTAGCTTATTCTTTGGTTGGCATTTATTTTTTTTATTTTTTATTTTTGAAATTTCATGTCCTTTATAAGTTGAAACGTGTTAGGTTCTTAATTGCATTAGTTTTGCTTGCAGTTGGAAGATCTACAAACAATGGTTGCCGGTGTTTGGACTAATGATGCCAATACCCAGCTTCAGTCAACCACTCAGTTTAGAAAGCTTCTCTCTATAGGTTCTTTCCCTAATCTTCTAACTGTCAACCTTGTTTAATGATCTGGGATTTTTCTCCGTTAAGGAACGCATATTCTGGTGTTGTTTTTGGCCAGAAAGGAGTCCACCAATTCAGGAAGTTATTCAAGCTGGTGTAGTTCCTCGATTTGTTGAGTTTCTGACGAGGGAGGATTTTCCTCAACTTCAGGTTTTAAATGCTCATCTTCCCCTTGGTATTGGGTTGTCATATTGGTAAAATAATTTTGTTGTTTATATGTATTTTTTCTTAACTGCAGTTTGAGGCTGCTTGGGCCCTCACAAATATTGCTTCTGGAACATCAGAGCACACTAAAGTTGTAATCGAGCATGGTGCCGTACCCATATTTGTTAAGCTCCTTAGTTCTCCCAGTGATGATGTTCGTGAGCAGGTAAGTCCTTTAGAGGAAACTCCATTTTTTGGGGTGCTTTTTGTCCCATTTGCTTCTCTGCAGAGCTTTTGTTCTAACTTTGAAAAGTTTGTTGTTCAATATTTATCACTCATAAGTCATATCCTTTTTCTTTGTCCATCTCTTTTGATTGTATTTAGGCTGTTTGGGCACTGGGAAATGTAGCTGGTGATTCGCCAAAATGCCGTGATCTTGTCCTTAATAATGGAGCTTTGGCCCCGTTGCTGGCGCTGTTAAATGAGCACGCTAAGTTATCAATGCTGAGAAATGCAACATGGACCTTGTCTAATTTCTGCAGGGGCAAGCCCCAACCTTCTTTTGATCAGGTTTTTACTTTCAGCTAAATAGTTGTATATGATGAGCCTATTTGAAGCAATAAGAGATAGCTTGAATCTTGTCTTGTCCAGTTGTTAAATTACCAGCCTTATTAGAATTTGGCCCCTTCTTTTGGAGAAAAACTTTGTATCTTTCTTGTTTTGATGTTTGGATTATGAGAAAGGAGAATGTAGTGATATTGTGAGCTTGACGTTGCAGACGAGGCCTGCTCTTCCACTTCTTCAACTGCTTGTAAATTCAAGTGATGAGGAAGTATTGACAGATGCTTGCTGGGCGCTCTCATACCTTTCTGATGGTCCAAATGACAAAATCCAAGCTGTTATAGATTCTGGAGTTGTTCCCCGATTGGTAGAGTTGTTACAGTGAGTATCTTATCTTGCGCTTGTGGGTTTTATAGTTCAATGGTTTTTCATTTGATGCATGTTTAAGGCTTGGTTTCATTGGCATTTCAGGCATCCTTCCCCATCAGTTTTGGTGCCTGCCCTGCGAACAGTTGGAAACATTGTAACTGGAGATGATATTCAGACTCAGGTATTAGCTACAATAAATCCAAATTATATTTCTTAATTAAAGTAATGTTTCATTTGGGGTGTCGTTTGGGGTGTGTGGCAATTATGTTGATTGCTATTTTTCGTCATTTTTTGGGTTTGCTGGGAAGAGTGAGAATTGTTAGGGCTTGCAGGCACATTGATGGTTATCACTTTGAAGTTCAACTTTTGTTGTCGTTTAATGGTTTGAGAATGAAATCTATTGACAAAGTCCACATGATGTAGTGCTTTGGACTCAATGTTCAATTTGCAAGAAATTAGATTACGTAATGCAGTAGTTTGTTATCTTACTATGTTTCTTTTTTAATATAAAAAAAGAAAAAGAAAAAGGGAAACTATAAATCTTGGCCTTCAAATAATTGAATGAGGTTGATATATTGTCGCTTGACTGATTTTTCTTTTTTGGAGCACTCTGCTTGTAGATTATGAAATCCATAAAATATTGACTACAGAATTTGTTCATGTTGCCTTTATCCTTGGATGTGTACAGTCACGAATTTATCACTTCAGTAGTTTTTGCATTGATCATTGTTCGGTATTATGATTTTGCAGTTTATCCTCAATTATCAAACATTGCCCTATCTCTTAAACCTGCTGCATGGCAATTATAAGAAAAGCATAAAAAAGGAAGCTTGCTGGACAATTTCGAACATTACTGCTGGCAACAAGGATCAAATTCAGGTTCTATATACTCCGTATTTTTTTCATTATTGTTTGTAATCATTAGAGTTTGAACTATGAGATTTGGATGTAATTTAATGTGAGATTGTGAATTTTGCAATTTTGTAGGCAGTTATTAGTTCTGGTATTATTGCCCCCCTCATCACTTTGCTTCAGAATGCTGAGTTTGACATTAAAAAAGAGGCAGCATGGGCAGTCTCAAATGCCACATCTGGTGGAAGTCATGAGCAAATTAAGTATGTTGTCTTGTCTTGTCATGGAACTTCGATTCAGCATTTTGGTTGTAATACATTCTTTATGATATAAATCGATGCACGTGTTTTTTGCAGGTTCCTTGTAAATGAAGGGTGCATTAAGCCGCTGTGTGACTTGCTTGTTTGTCCTGATCCAAGAATTGTCTCAGTGTGCCTAGAAGGGCTTGAAAACATTTTGAAGGTTGGGGAGTCTGAGAAGAATATAGGATTGTCAGGAGACGTGAATACATTTGCACAAATGATTGATGAAGCAGATGGATTGGAGAAGATTGAGAATCTTCAGAGTCATGACAACAATGATATATATGAGAAGGCAGTTAAGATGCTTGAGACATATTGGTTGGAGGACGAGGATGAAGCTTTGCCTCCTGGTGATTCGACGCAACAAGCTTTCCAGTTTGGAGGGCAAGTGAACCCCTCGTTCACTAATGGTGGATACAACTTCCAGTAAAGGCTGTCCTAGCTATTTATGGTAATTGTTTTTGTTATTGTTCCCACTCGCTTTCTCTAATCAATTCTGTATTAGCAAGAAAACTGGAGTTAGTAAGTTAATCTTTATTTGGTTACACAAACTCCGTTACTACAGTTCTCTGACTTATTTTGATATTCATGAATCATGACAGGTCTCTCTTTTATGTTTCATGTTCGATGCATTCCCTACGAAGGTGCAGAAATATGGAGTTTATAAAGAGCATTAGTCATTTGGCTGAATTGTTGGAACTTCAAATCTCAACTTCCGTGGATTCTGCAGCATAAATGTCGAACCTTATTGTTTTCCTTTGAAGGCTTTTATTATTTCATATATATTTTTTCCAGCTTATACTGTGTTATTTTGACCATTCAGAAAGCTAGCTTAGTAAACCTTTGTTTCTCTTAAAAAGGAAAGAAAAGAAAACAAAAATCTAAAATGTTGCTTTTGATCTCAATTGTGTTGTCCGTTTGGTTCTCAGACAGAATGAATGAAATCCAAAGTAAAACGATTGAGGATTTGTATTAAAAAAATAGTATAAATATCAAAATTTGGGGTTTTTTTGGATAAAGGAAGTAAATGAACAAATTAAATATTTTATTCAAATTTGAGAATACATATTTTATGCTTTTGCTTATTGCTTAATTTAAAAATTGTATCGCTAAACACAACTTGATTTTACTTCGTGCAATTTATAAAAAATACTAAAATATCCATGAACTTTAAATCTTTCTGCATTTCACTCTTTTATAGATTGTTTCTCTTTTTATCATTTATCCAAATTCTTTTAAACATACAGTTAAAACATTATTATTGATAGTTTGTAATGGTGTATAACCTAAGAACACAAAAAATATGAAAAAATTGAGGCATTGGGCCATCGGTGTCCCAACAAGTAATTATTTGGAGAATTATTTGTAATGAGACACACTTGTTTATGGATATTCTTAATTGGATCTGCCTTTCATTTCTTTCTAAAGCAAAACAAGTTCAATAATGCACAAAATTAATATCTGACGAAGAAAAACGTGTGCGTATGATGAAATTAAAATATCTTTTGTTTCTTTCGGAATTGGTATGACTTTGATTTGCTTCCTTATGTTAAATCTAATTACATGTAATATTCAGTTTTATGTTAGTATTTTTCAGTTTTATGTTAGTGTAAATATTTATGAAGAGGGTGTTTTCGTATTTTTTGCAAACTTACCTTTTAAAAATCTATCCAATAAAGAGTTTTTTATTTTTTTATCTTTTATGCACCATAGTCCATACTAAAATCTTTCACCTTAAAGGATGATATCAATAACTTAGTGGGGAACCAACGGTAAACTACTAATTATTTGATCAAATTTCAAATTTTCTCAGAAGGATTGGATTCCCTAATCAATTCATACGTTTATTTATGATGCATTTGCCATATCATTTTTGATAGTCCAATACTATATAGTTACATGTGTACTAAATGTGTTGGAATAATAATAAAACAAAATTGAATTTTCTTAATTTGTTTATACGAGATGGATTAGACACCATTAATAATTAAAAAATATCAATTACATGATTGTCTTTAACACTATCTATCAAATATTAATGATGTAACAAATTTATCAATAGTAATATGATTATTATAAGAACAAAATGAAATAGCTAAAGCGCGTTGCTTTTAGATTTCAACAGAATGCAACACAATATCCCGATTGTGAAACAATGACCATGCAAAGTGAAAAAAAAAAAAAACCAAATGTATTATCTTAAAATAAAGAATAACCAAAATAAGAAGAAAAAATATAAAACAAAAACAAAATTGTGGAAGAAAAATATGAAAATGAACAACGAAAGACGATTACCTCTAATAAACTTGAGATAGAGATATAAAAAAACAAAGTCTTAGAAAGAAAGAAAGAAAGAAGAAAGTAGTAAAATTTATGCACTTTAGAACTATATATATAGGTGATGCATGATTTTTAATATTCTTTTTATTTATTGAACAATTTAAAATATCATTAATGAACCTTTTAAATTGTAAAAAAGAGATAAAAAGAAGACAAGATGAAATTTTTAGAGTGGTTAGAAACTTAGGATCAATGAAACTATTTTTTAACTTATCAAATTCATCTGATAATAATAAATAATAATTTTTTTGTAGTCTTAATAAAAGAAAAAATTAATAAAAGCAAGATTAAAGATTCATTATATTGTCAACAGTAATTAATTATGAAATAATCATCTAAGAGTAGTGGGGATCAAAAAAAAACAAAGAGACATAATTAATCATGGAATAATCATTTAAGAGTTGGGGATGAAAAAGAAAATAAAAAGACATAATCAATCATGGGATGTTCATTTAAGAGTGGTGGAAATGAAAAAGCAAACAAAGAGACATAACCGTTTTGGAAGCAAAAAAAAAAAAACAAACTTGATAATTATGTTTAAAGAGTACTACCAAACTCAATCTCACATTCAACAATTATAATGTATGTTGATTATGTTGTTTTCTTAACCTACATGTACAATATCTATTTATTATGAGGTATATACTAAGTATCCTTTGGCTGAGTAATATCATCCCATGTAAACAAGGTAATTGTCATATTTTCTTACCTCTTTAGCTAGCAAAATTATGTTATTCCATGAAATTAACTCAATCAATTCTGCTATTTTTCTTCTTTTGTTAAACACTAGGGAGGGAGCTGCACTTTGTGCACCCTAAAGTGAGTAGAAGCCCAGTATTTGGGGAATGCTTTCATTATGTTTTAAGAGAAGAGATTAATAAATAGAAAAAATTTAATACATAGAGGATGAGATTATATATCAGCAAGTGCAAGATTGTGGATTGTTGTAATATTGGGGATGCAAATATAATACTAACACATTAAACTATAGAACAATTATAAAACAACGCAACAAATAAAGCTCCACTTTACAGAGTAAAACAAAATGACCAACTCTGATCAATCAGTTAATGTATAAATTGCCAATATCAAGAGAATGTAAAATGTTGAGATCAAAATGCTGATACAATAGCCGAAAAGTGTAGCCTAGTTGATCTCACACTAAATGTATTATGAGTACAACATCAAGGACAATAAATAGTCTAACAATCTCACATCACCAAACTGCACTTTCTTTTTCTTCTCCTCTGCCCCGTTCAACAATTTCTAAGCAATTCCACCCAAATTCATGCCGATAGATCATGTCTGGGAACTTTTGGCTTTCTAAAGCACCAACAAACACCAATATATAGATTAGCTCGTAAAAAATGATGAAAGAAAAGAAAAGACCATACGAAATTCCTATGAAACACAGAGTAAGACATTCAAGTGCAAAAGAACATCTAAGTTACCTGAAATCAAAATTTTAGAACCCACATTCAAGGCTATAATTCACGCCATTGAACTAATCAAGCATATGGTTACGAGAGGCGATATCTTGAACTAACCAATCAAATCCTTCAAGTAAAACTCAAGAACCTAATCAAGAAATCAAAAGTTAATAATATACATGCATACACAATCTCAATCTCTGCTACTCATTTTTTCATGAGAGTAGGCAAACCACAACAAAGAGGTTTTGTATGTGGGGATCTTACTTTAGCCATTTCATCTGAAGAAAGAGACCCTTTCTCTCTGCTTATTCGAAAAAATCAGCAATGACGCTAGGAATCTTTGACTCAAACTGATTTTACAATTATGATTATTGACTTAACTTGACTTTTTACCAGTGACATTGCAAACTGTTTAGTTGCATGTTGATGCTCAAAATGTCATACAACTTGATCATCAAGGTAAACACTTCACTTTCAGTTTATAACTTAAGAGGAATTAGGAACCAAAACAAAATTGACCATGTAGTCCATTCTCAAACTTTTATCACAATTTTGGAGCAAGTAATGTAAAGAACTACAGCTTGATCAATATATCAAACAAATAGCATGTAAATATAGAGAAAATTTCACCAAATTCTTGATACAAAAAACAATCCAACTTACCTATACTACTAACATAAAAATTAGGATATGTCAATAACTAACCTAATTGATGAATAATCTCTCCTAGATAATCGAAATATTTCAGTGCAAATAACAAACAGTTTGCATACATTCAAATATTAACACAGCTTAGGTTAAACACCTCAATCAAAGACTCCACAAATTCAGATGTTGGGAGAAGAAATGAAAGTTAAGGAGGAATAGCCAACAAATCAATTCTTAAAGAATAATCCAATCCAGACCTCACCTTGCTCTTCGTTCCTCCCCCAGAGAAAACCCGCTCTCCCTCACCATGGTTGATATTTTTCCGAGGCCATAGAACTGGAAAGCATAGACGGTATCCAACTTTGGGCCAATAGTACAAATCTTAAATCTAGATTGGAGAGAATTGATACGGATGAGGGCATGCATAACCACGTGTACAATTTGACTGACCACCATACCTAAATAGGAGCAATTCCGGAAGAAAGACAAAAAAAAAAACCCACTAAAACCACAAACGGACCCATTCATGGAAGAAAGTAGCAATCTGGCTCAATAAAACGACATAAAAACCACTTGAATAATGTCATATAAACATTTTCAAAAATAGAAAAATGAGTTATCCTTTATACCTGAGACACCTGATCAATAACGGAACCAATTTTTCATAGGGGTCGGGGTTTGGCCATCTATTTAACTATAGAGGAAAAAAACCAAATGAAATAACCATAAGGTCACATTAATATAATATAATATAATACAAAGAAATAAATCAAATTTAATTTAAATGTTATCTAAGTGGCTAAATGTGACAGAAATTAAAATACACAAACAAAACAAAATATATATGAAGGGAGCAAAATATACACTTAGTTTTAAAACATGTTTTCAGAGAGAGAGAGTTATTATATGGGGGAAAAATGACTTCCACATCAAAGCAACACTGTTTGGATAAGTGATTTACAAGTTGAAATTGTCAATCTGACTACCATGAATAGAGATCAACTTAGTGATTTAGAAGATCATTTTTAAGTATAAAGATAAGCAATACAGTAGATCAGTGATTTTTTTTAAAATTTTTTTTAGAATTCCAAAGTAATGTATTGTTGTATGAATATTTTGTTAAGTACACGAAGATGTTGAATTCAGATTTTTGGGATATACAATGTCACTAAAGAAGATTAAATTAAAAAATTTTATGACAAATTTGAAAATTGAATAAATTACCGGCTTGTTTTCAATTATACTCTAAATGCTGAAGTTTTCGTCCAATTTAGATGCAACAATTCCAAAGACAACCCCTTACGAAGATGCATATGTGCCAGAATTCATTAAAAGCAAAAAACCGAAAGCGCCTCCATATCCAGATCCCATAACAATAGCTAAAACTTTCCCTACCAATCTTAAACGTTTTTTTATAGGCTTGTAAATCATAATATGAGTAGAAAAAAATCCGATAACATTAACAATAATTATGAGTTTAGAACATATTCGGTATGCTTGTCACAGGTGATTAAACCCCGCACCATAACCCAATTGGTTAGGATTTACTTGAAAACTATTATATTTGACTAACTCATTGAAAGATATTACTTATTTATTTACTCAAAACCCATCTCGTGTTAATTACAATTGGAGTAGATATTTATATGCAATGGGGTCATATAAGAGGAAAAAATAAAATTTGGCCGACAAACATTTATGCTAATGAAAATTTTAAACTATATACATAATTGATATTGCAAGGGCGAAACATGGCTTAGCCTTAATCAATGACATTTATAATAAAGATTAACATCAACATAGTCAGTATATTATTAGTCCGATAACACTTACAGCACTCATACAAAATTATACTATTTCAATAAAATATAGAGAGTTGAGTAAAGAAAATCCATACAAGAATAGTGTTTTTTTTTTCAACTGAATTCCTATAGTACTAATGATTCTCACTGTATTAACCAGGTGAAAAAAGCCTCGATACAAGAATGGAAAAGTGAACAACCCCCAAATTTAACTAAAATGTGATCTTTTAGTTATATTCAGTGCACCCACAGCACTTCGAATTCAAAACGAAAAGGTAAAAATTGAACATCAGCCAAAAAAAAAATAGACATAAAAATACTACATATTGTAAGGATAAAAATGTAAATTCATGTTGAGTTTGAGGGTGCAATTGATGGGTTATCTATGGCCTTTGCAAATCCACCCACACAAATCTCCATAATAAATATAAATGTGAAGACGGTTAGGAGCGATACATAAACCCATGAGATTTTCTCTCTCCCCATCTCATTCCATCTCCAAATCCAAATGACGATTAACACGGAAATCTATTAAGAGAACGAGGTGAAAAATGGATAAAGAGATTTAAAAATTAGATTAATAGATTGAGCTGGTTAAAATCTGTCTAAAATGATTCACAAAATTATCAATAATTAAATAATACATATGAAAGGTTAGTTTTCTATGACATTTTTATATTTGTTTGTCAAACCTTATAAAAAAAAATAAAAAAGAGAACCGAACTCCAACGTCAACTCAAATAAGGAACATGATTGGATAAAAAACAATAAAAGAAAGGATGAACTTTATTATTATAATTGAATATTTATTACTGGAAAAGAAATAGATGATATTACAAGGACCACATACAGTCTAATAATAAGAACCACCGCATAAAGTTTGATTTTCAAGAAATAAATAATAAATAAAGGCACAACAAAATAAGTGGAAAGAAACACTCTTTAATATTCATGATATCGATGAATAAATGGCCGATACGCTTGCTGCCGGATGAAAATAGATATATGTTGCTAAAATTAGATGTGCAGAAGAACCCTTGAATTGACCAATTTTCCTACTATAATACTCATAAATTAGATTTTAGAGTTAACATTCGCGGGATATTTTTCTTGCAAAAAATATATTAAAAAAATATAGAAAACTAAATCTTAGTAAAAAGGTTATAACCCAAAATTGGATTTATGGTACAAATTTCCAAATATGAATATAGCATTGAAACTCTTTAAGGCTGATTTTAACAAAGGTGGCAACCCCTTAAATGAAGAATTACAACTTTCTTAGATCTCATGACTAAAATGAAGAAAATTCCAACATAAAATCTACTATGAAGGTATGAAAGCATCATTTTCTGATCATAGCTTCTCCAAATCACAATCGGTTTTAAATTATAAGAAAATGCGATGAGATTAGGATGGAAGGAAGACATTTCCCAAGACAATTGGCAACTTCATGATTGGTGATGGAGAAGATGTTGGCGTCGTCGATGAAAAGTATAAAAAAAAAATTGAATTTCAATCAAAAAGTGAAAGTGAAAACTAGAAATCAGTTGGAACCAAACCGAAAACCTTATTCATGCAAGAATGATGATTTCTCTCCAACATAATGCCCATAGTTTTGATAATTCTACATTGTTAACTAAGTGAAACTGGTCTTGATGTAAGAAAATAGAAGTGAAAAACCTCCACATTCGAGTGGGATGTGTTTTTTAGTGGCATTAATTGCACCCATAGAAGTCAAAGTTCAATATAACAAGGTAAGAATTAAACAACTGACAAAATATAGAAATAAAATCACTACATAATGTAATGGGGGGAGGGAATTTACATCAAGTTTGGAGGTCCAATTGATGGGTTATATCCGGCCTTTGCACTACCACCAATACAAATCTACATAATGAATTTGAATGTGGAAACAATTAGGAGTAATATACAAACCCATGGGATTTTCTTTCTCTTTTCAACTCCTTCTACCCCCAAATCCAAATAACTGTTTACACGAAAATCGTTTATATAAGAAGTGCAACATTTATACCGAAAAATGCCATACACTCGTACTACATTTCAATCTAAAGTGACCCATATATAAGTATTTCAATTTTAAACAACATATGTTTCACGTATATTTCATGTTTGTTTCACTCTAAACATATGTCATACGATTGTCAATTTGAAAATCTTCCTTACCTTCATGATTTTGGATCCATGGCTCTCTTCGAAGTTATTTACGACATCCGTGGCTCTACATCTATAATTTTTTCTTAAGTCTTCACTGGATTCATGACTCTATGTCCATAATTCTTCTTAATTCTTCACCGGATCCATGGATCTACGTCTATAATTCGTCTCAATTCTTTACCAGTAAATAATCTGGAGGGTGGACATTTAGCAAGGAACTCAATGGAGCTAAAAACCATACACATGTATGTTCTATCATCAAATAGATTTTTGGAGGAAGGCAAAAAGAATAAAAGAAAAAGCAAGTGAGGCTTTGGATGAATAGGGAAGCATGAGACTAGAAAAACTAATCCGAGAGAGAGACAGAGCGGCGGCTATAAGGACAAGATTTTCAGAAACCCTAACTCTAGTGATGAAGAAGCAAAACGTTTTAAAAAATATGGCCAATATAAAGTAGTTTTGTTTCTTAAAAAAATTTGTTGTTTAAATATTTATTTTGCTACTATTAAATAGACAATGCGTGAGTATTAATATTCACATTACATAGATACAAAAAACATAGACTATATCGTGTTCCGTCTAAGATCTAAACCTAATTAGACAATCACAAAATATCATAAAATCGTTGAGCTACTAACAAAATCAAATAATTTTGTCACAAATTGTCACTCTAAATATATGTTTCACAAAAGAAGAAAAATAGCTACCGATCAATTCAATTTCATGGAATGACATAATTTTTTTTAACCCCAATAATAACCCTACTAAATTAAAAAAAAATCATCATAATGATAGTCATCCCCTTTTCTTCGACAAAAGTTACAGATCCACTACCATAATTAATTATTACATAGAAAAGGTCCACGATTCTTCAACAAAAATAGATAATAACTTAACAAATGTCTAGAAAAAATTTAGAACACCACATAAGAAGTCACGCGATGATAAAAAAAAAAAGGTGTTTAACCACTCGATGTTTCTTTCAGCATTCACCCAGGGAAAATGGTCATTGACTTCAAATTCCGACACATATTTAAGATGTATTCTTCCACCCGTAGCCAGATCCTCGGATGCTGCTTTGCAAATGGCATTGCACATTAACTCACCAGCAAAATCAGTATCCATATATGGACGATACTTTTCCCTAATCACCTCTCTAGCCCAATCACCACCACTATCCATAGCAAAATAGGTTTCAAGCGTCCTAATATCTCCATCTCCATAAATGACATAACCATCTAGGTGTCCATTAATATCACCAGAAACCACTAGTTTAGCCTTTAACCAAAATTGCCTTTTGTGGCTGTCACGACTCCAATGGCTCAATCGGTACAAGAAGCGGCTCAAGAAAAGAGATGCTTGTCTTGCAGTGGCAAAAAGATAAGAATAAAGCTTACGAGTCAAGTAATCAGACTGCCAACCATCTCCTCTACCCGCAGCATAAATTGGAACAGTCCTCCTAATATTCTTGATTTTATGAACGACATCATTATCAACATGATAGAAAGGATCATTGTCACTTGTATGTCCCTCCCTAGTATCAACAACAAGAAAACTTGCATCTACCATATCATAATTTGTAAAATTTGTATAAACAATTGTTTTTCCATGCCTTGGTACGCTGAACGATTTTGCAGAAGACCTTCTAGAACCCTTTTGAGACCTTAATTTAAAGCTTTTCTTCAGAATATCTCCAAATTTTCTTTTAGGTTTCATCTTCTGCCCCTGTTTCATTGTTTGAGGAGGAGAAATGAAGAAAACCCTAGGTCGACCAGTAATAAAATGGCTGAAATGAAGAAAACCCTAGGTCGACCACTAAGAAAATGGCTATTTATTGAGCAACATTCTTAAATAATAGATAATGGGCTACATAAGTGTGGGTTACAAGTTGTTGTAATGGGCTTAAGTGGGCTACAATCCAATCTCATTTTGAAAATTAGAGAAAAATAGAAGAGAGGGTTTAGAATTATGTCCTATTTTTATTTTTAACATTATAAAATCAATGTATTGTAAAGTGAAAATTGTTATCATGTTATGAACTTAAACAAAAGAGATGTTAAAAAATTTAGTACACTCAGAAACGTAAAATGATATAGATCTATACTCTTCTTTTTTTTTTATCAATTTAAGTTGGTAACATTTGAACCTATACTTAATATAGTAAGGCCCAAACAACATCAACCCAAACAACATCAATACTCGATCCAAACAATATTGTTTAACAAGGGATAACAGCCCAATAACGTTTGTTGTTAAGATCAATAAAGGACTCAAACCTCCGCTAACACATGTACATAAATAGAGGTTTGTACAAAAGTTCCACTTTAGCAATAGATCTGGAAAAAAAAAACTCTGTTTATTTACAAAATACCATCAATGGATTGTTTATTCAGAAACCACCATCAAACGGCTACAGACTTGGCGCAAAAATTTTGTTGATTTATCAGGCATAAATCCTGAAAATTATTGATATAAAAGTCTTCAGCAAGGCAACCAATAGCCTGAAGAGATCAAAACAAGGGAAAAAAAGGAATCAAAATTTAAAGAATCAAAACAAAGGAATGACATAATTTTGTTAGCTGAAAAAATAAACAAATATGGATAATAACCTTTTTTTATATGCGAGACATAACGCAGCTGTAGAAGACCAAGTCTATATATCCTTCATAATAGATAGATATTGCACTTGTAGATTAAGAAAATAACACAATGAAAGCAAACTAAAAAAAATTCAGACTTTTTTCGCGGTGGATATCCAACACATTTAGTACTCAAATGACTATGTAGTATTGGACTATCAATATGATATGACAAATACATCTTAAGGATTGGTTAAGGATTTAAATAATTAGTAATTCATCACATCTATTAAGTTTGTCATTGTCCACTCACTAAGTTCTTAATATCATCTTTCATAGGGAAAGATGAAGTATGGAGAAAAAAATACAATTTTTTTTTTCATTCAATAGACTTTTTAAAGTACACAATAAGTAAAAACCAGAAAAAGTGTATTCTCAATTTCGAATAAAATATTGAATTTGTATACTATAATTATTCTTCAATAATTAAAGATATGATTTGAAGAGATATAAAGTTGTTTATACCGTTATATTATATTAGTTTATGCATCGATGTTGAGATTTTTACTTCAAAATTCTTTTCCACTCTCAAAGAAAAAAAATTTTTTAACTCCAAGTACAGATAGTTGTTTGTGTAATAAAGAATAACAAAACGCGAGTTTGGTGCCAATTTTTTATGTATAAAAAAAGAGAGCATCAAATAAAATTGCATAACCATAAAAGTTCCGTTTAATAGAGATCCTTGATCTCTTCAAATGTTAATAGGAAATTGATTCAATCACATGATCATAGTTATCCAATCATATTAACAAAAAAAAAACCCTACATATGCTAAACAATGCACAATTAATAAACGTGAAAAGGTTAATCATTAAAGAATCACACACACACACACCAATTATAATATAGGGCTCCTACGTACACCTAGCAAGGTATACCAAGTGAGTCTCACGCGACCAAAAAATAGGTATTTTTCAATATTTACAACAATGTCATTCGAGTGTATACACGTGCCCATTTAATTCCCCTTTTTGTGTGATTTTTAGAATTTCAAATCCCCCCATTTCCTCCTAATTTTCAGCGATTTACCATATCCATCTTCCACCTCATTCATCACAATCCGTCTCAAAAAAAAAAGAAAGAAAGCAATGAAGGAAGCAAGATATACAACTAATTAATAGGAGCCGAAGTGAAGGAAGCAATGAACATCAATAAACATTTAGAACACCATGCGCTTTCATCTATGCCTCGAACTACTTCTTAGTCATCAGATTTTTTCACTTTTGCGGCAAGGGGATGGATTGATTAATGGAGGAGAAGACTAGGGGTGATGGAACGGAACGCATGGAGTAGAGAAATTTTTTTAAAATAGAGAAATAAATCTCCTAAAACAGCACATCAAACCAGGATTTTTTTTACTTTAACTTTCAGATTTTAGGTCATGTTCAAATCTAGGTTTCTCTCAAACCATAACTTCTTTTTACGAGCTGCTAAAATTGAAATAAACCACTTCAAATGTAATATATTTCCATGGAATTAAACCTCAGAAAACAAATAAAATAATAGGATTAATTAACCCCTAAACAGAACGTCAGAATCTGGATTTTAGACTTTCAGTTCAGACTTGTACTGTTCAAATCAAGTTTTCAGATAATCCACAACTCCGTTTTGAAATCCGTAAAAACAGGAATAAAGTGCACTCAATGAGGAAGATATTCATATAAAAAAAATCCTTGAAAAAGTTAGCGAACTAAGAGAAAAAGGTCTTGCAACAGAGGACCGTAGATCTGATTTCTGCAATTCCTAAGTATGTATACTCTGCTTTAGCAGGTTTCTTGAGATATACATAGCTTTTTACAAAAGAATATAGGCACAGAAAGAAGGGTATTACAAAAGAAACTTGAATATAAACGACTAAAAGACATGAGAGTTAAGTTCTCCCAAACAGTATATCAAATTTGAAATTTGTACTCATGGGACTGAATTTTTATCAGCCATCACCTTTACCGCTAACTTTCTTTCAATGTAGGAACTAATGCTAATGTACTTCTGCCAAGAAAAGGCTAATAGGCCAGAGCTTATTTAACATAGCAAACTTAGCTGGAACTTTCTAAAAAATAAAACCGCAGGGAAAAGACAACTAACAGTAACATTGTTAGTAAAACAAACCTTTCTTTCTTCATTAGCAATAGCCCTTTCTTTCTTCAATAGCAATAGCCCAGGAAGATGAAGTATCACCGCCTAAAATATTTGTGTTTCCTCAACTGCAGAAGAAGTATAAGAATCCATGTTCAAAGAAGGACAAGATTAATCGGCGGACATTGAAGCCTTTCATCATCCATATTAAATTAAATTCCATAAAAAAAAAAGACTACAAAAAACTCAAAATTTAGAGCAAACTCGGGGAAAAATAATTGGAAAGAGTAGAACTGTAGTGAAAATGAAATTCAAAGCTATATTAATAATGGATGCGGCCAAAGTCGATCATCTATAGAAATTAATTGATTGATGGATGCGGCCTACCCCAAAAAAATAAACACAACAACATAAAAGCCTTGCCAAAGTCGCTCGCATCCTTCAAATAAGATTGGAATAATGCATTAGAACTACCAGGTCAATCAATCAAATAGAATTTCGATCAACTATTAGAAAACAAAATCAGAGAAGCTCTTACCAAATATTCCACAAGCTTCTCAATTTGCTTGCCGATAAAAGAGTTTTGGTTGCCCAGCTCGATTGAGAGATTATAAATAGATAGTAGGATTGTGATTGTTGCCATCATAAATCAGGGAAGAAGGAGAACGTGAGTGAGATCGTGCTCTTCCAAAAGCCGGAGTATCCCGGTGGTGGTGTATTTGAGGTTGACCGATTATTATTTTTTTGCACTCTTTTAAACGGACGACCTCCGTAATCGACAGCAATCAATCAGTAATAAACTGGTTAAACCGGTAGCAGGTGTGATATGTATAATCAGGTGGATTTTGGACTATTTTCTTATAATACACCATGTTTTTGATCTTACGGTTATTAGTTAACTAAGTTGATCTTACGGTTATTAATTAATTACAGAACCATCCCGTTACGGGACTCTAGACGCTCCCATATATATATATATATATATATATGTATTTGGTGAAGGAAATTCTAGAATTTAGCAATCTTGTGAAGGAGCTAAATACAAATATTTCAATACTTTCTGGTTGATTTTGGGACTTTATATAAATAGGTGAACTTATTTGGTACATATACATAGTAATAATAAAGTAATAGTAAGAGAGAGGGGGGAAAAAACGGATATTTCATGCTGTGGTTAAAACTTAATATATAAAAAGATCCAATTTGAATAAAAATTAAGACTTAATAAAAACTTAATAATGTATTGTGCTCTAACGCAATGTTATGTTTTTTACGAAAAAAAAAGTTGTTTATGGCCAAATTTTGATAATGTATTGTGCTCATAATATTATTTTATCAAGTCAAATTTTGCAAGATGTTTTATGGTCTACCCTTTCAAATTTACATTTAGATTACACTTTCAATTACTTTCGAAATCTATAATCAAACAAAAACAGAATCAATGGTCATAGCCGTACAAAATAAAAAGGTTAGTAGCGAGCTTGAATTTTAATGAACTAAGACTCAACCAGAATAAACAGGGAAGGCTCCTCTCCTTACAGTGCATGAAGCAGCCAAGTCCAATTTTCATAATTTGCTTACTTCAGTGTAAAAGCAAGAATCACTTTTTTTTTTTTGGTTGTTTTTAGGAAAGAATCACATTGTTTCTTAACCGAGAAGACGTTGCTGAGGACTTCCCTTAATTTCCGGGAGTAGCAGCCACTGCATCGAATTCACAACGATATTATTATGATCAGCATATGAAGCATAATTTGATTTTGATGGTAGAAAAAAGACGGTAAATTATCCACATGTTCCAGAATAATGCTTCTCCTCGTAACGTTTAGTCATTTATGTAATAATGCTTTTTAGTTGAACGAAATTGGGACAGAGCAATCTGTTTTATTTGATAAATAGATGTGGAAAAATGCGAACTTCATTTCCCGTGGTCCATGGTTCATTCTAGGGTGTGATCCATGGTTCATTCCAGGGTGGATCATCGATGATACAAAGCAAATGTCCATCAAAATCATACTAGAATCCAGAGAAAATAGGGTACTAAAACTAAACGGGGAAGAACGTAACACAAATCCCTAAAATAACATATGTACATTTCTCACTTGTACTACTCACTAATCATTTGTGCTACTTTCAGTGTACTACTACTATGATCATTTAGCAAAATTAACCAAGACAGGTTTATCAAAAGTCTTGGCTTTGTAGACTACTACTTGGACCACACTGTCCACAACCACCATCCTATCCTAAATCAAACTCCTAATAACATCATCATCCTTAATCATGAACCCAAAAAAGAAAAGCCTACAAGCTAAACCAGAAAGGGCTAAACAAAAGAAACCAAAGGTTAATTACTCTATTGGTGGTCAGAATGTAGAGAATTTGTGGTCTGATTTTTTTTTGAGGAAAATTTGAATCCCTTGCCTCTCCTTTTGATCCATCCAAATCAAGCAAAAACAGATCCATAAGACAAAGACATCAAAAGCACAGCAGCCTCCTCAACTTCTCCCCAACCCTTTTCACCATCAATTCTTTGCTTCTTTTTCAATTGAGATCTCTGCTTCTGAAACAGAACGACCCCTTCACCAAAAGCCATCAATCTCTGCCTCCACTCCACACTTAGCTTATCATACTTATTCCCATTCTTAACTTTAGCCCTTTTCTTGCTTTTGCTGCTAGTATTTTCTCCTTCCTTCTTCACCATCTCTCCTTCCTCTTTCTTCAAGCCCACACCGGTGGATGTCTCTGTTGATGTTGATGACGATGATGTAGTGGATTTTACCGTTCCATTGGCGGCCCTTCTCTTTCGGTGTCTGATCCCACAAGCATTACAGAGTGACTGCAACAGAACACCCCAAAAAAATCAAACCGCGATCAAGCAATTTTCCAAAAATCAAACAAAAATCGACAAAGATCCGTAGCAAAAGAACAGATTTTTATTCACCTTAGGCCCCGATGGACCACCTCTCCATAAGGGTGTCTTTGTAGTCCTGCAATCAGCACAAAACTTTGCCCCGATCGTTTCAGGAGGCACCGATTCTTCTACTTCCTAACCAGAAAAAACCAACCAAAAGAGTCAATTAGTACTCGAAAAGCCAACCCAAAAGAGAAGTAAAGCTTGCTATGATCCTTAAAGTCATTACCTTTCTGTGTAATTCCATGCTGCTCTGTTGCAAAGATTTAATGAACTTCACTCAAAATGCACAGATGAAGAAGCAACGAACAAAAATCCCAGCACGAATTCGAATTATTCGAGGTTGTCTTCTGATCATGAAGCACAATTTCGCGATTTTTTCAAAAGAAAGAAAAAAAAAAATGAAAGGGATAGGAAGAGGAGGGAGGCGTAAAGAGAATAAGGTGGCGGAGGAGAGAAAATAAATTATAAAGATAAAAAGGGCCGACAAAGGGAAAGTATAATTGGAACCGACATGGTTTCTCCGGTTGAACCGGGTATAAACCCTAAAATGGGAGGGTGAAATGACGGAAATGGGGCTGAATTCTAAGTTTGGGTGGCACCGAGTGTCCCGCCAAAGAATGATTAAAAAATTTGATTTGGGGCAAAGAGACAAAAGAGGCGCGCATGACCCACGTGTCGTCTTGCATGCACCATTGTGTTGGTGGGCTTTTTGATATTTGGGAAATTTTCTTTTGGGGTGAATTTTGTGATCATGCCCCTATCATCATCTCTATGTCAAATTAGTTTTGTGTTTTGTTTGGTACTTTTTTGGTTAAGGAATGGATGACGTTAGGTCAATCGAGCTAAGTCGGGCATCCATATTTGGTCTCCTTGTCAAACTATGAATTTCTATTAGTTTAATAAAACTAACAAGATTCAGTCCATAATTAATGTTTTATACGTCGTTTAACAATCTACCGAGGTAAAATCGAGTTGAGACGTTGAAATTCTTTTAGTTTTTAGCATAATAATACGATTTACAGAGATAATTCAACATTATGAAATAACATAGTTACATTTAATTTAATCGTAGATGTTATGGAACAAATGACACCATATTGGTTTCTTGTAGTCATTCAGTTTACAGATTCACTATTTTCTGTCATTTTCTTAACACGGATCAATACCATTTTTTCCCCCCTTTTTTTCTTGAGAAAATACTTACGAAGGTGTAATTGTGCAATCATTATCCTCAAGCTTCGGAAAGGGTGAACACTCCTCTTGGAAAAATCAACAATGTTATCAAATGCTCTAATTTGATCACAATGCTAGAACTATGGGTCTCTAATTCTCTTTAGTTGGATGTTCCATCAGCATTAAGTTGATTCTGAACAGATAGAACGGCCAGATGGTAGGCCAATTAGCAAAGTGATCTACAAATGTTATGAACTAAAACGTATATTTATTCAAATGTAAAGAATTTGTTTATCTTAGTTCTACAAATGATAGTGTAAGAAAGTGCTACTTCCTTATGGTTTAACAGAGCATAAAATTAAGGAGTGTCTTAAATTATCATACTAAATGCATGCTCTAATACTTTCTCCATATTACCAAAATACGATTTCAGCATCTAACTAGTTTTTTTCTCTATAAATTTTGATGATGACATTTTTGGTATGGGAAAGGGGAGAAAAAAAAAATGTCTTCGGCAAAACGGTTACTTTGATCTCTCCATCAATTCCCACTATTTCAATTTGCGATGGATGACTTTGGGGTAAAAAAATATTCAAGAAAGAAATGAAGAACACCTTAGACACAGACTGACACATATCTATTAGTCAACTCTGATATTGATTCCACTCCATCTATCATCAGATGGGTTGTTTTCACTTTCAGTGCACTGAGATGAACAAACAATTCATTACATTATAGTGGGTTTTAAATTGTGTTTAAAAAAAAAAAAAAAAGAGAGAGAGAGAGTATGTTTTTTATTCTAATTGATTTTGATCAATTATGAAAGATTTTTTTCCCATTCAGTTCTTCTTCATAAAGATCAAGCTCAGAATTTACATTAAAGAAGCAAGCTTTGGTCTTCATTGAATATTTTTCAGTTGCTTGATTGATATGTTGATGAAGGTCAACTGATTTTTGAAGAGAAAGAAATGCTGGAAATTATCAAGTTTGCGAATTTATTGACCATTTCAATAATGATCATCCTGTTCTTTTTCCCTGCCCTTCAATCATCTCCTCCAGCAGAAGCCATAAGATCATCAGCTTCAGTTATTCCAGAAACAAGCTCATTCTTCTTCAGAAAGGCTGCGGAATTCAAGAATGTAAAAGATGAAATTTGTAACCCCTCTTTTGTTCATGTTGCTATGACTCTTGATGTTCAATTCCTTCGGGGTACAATTGCTTCTGTTCATTCCATTCTTCTGAATTCTGTGTGCCCAGAAAACATCTTTTTTCATTTCATCTCTTCAGATACAGAGAATGACCTTATTTCCCTCATCAAAGGCGTTTTTCCTTCCATCAAACTGAAGGGGCACTATTTTAATCCAGAAATCGTTCAGAAGAGGATATCTTCAACTGTTAGACAAGCCCTTGAACAGCCATTGAATTATGCAAGAAATTACCTGGCTCATCTTATTGGTGAGCCCGGTGTTGAAAGAGTCATATATCTAGATTCTGATGTTGTTTTGGTTGATGATGTATCAAAGCTATGGGAAATTAATCTTCAATCTGCAATTCTGGGTTCACCAGAATACTGCCAAGCTAATTTCACCAAGTATTTCACACACAAGTTTTGGTCACAGGAGAAATTTTTCAAAGCTTTCTCCGGCCGAAAACCATGTTATTTCAACACAGGTAGTTTTGTTGTTTTGTACAACTAATATATGCATTTGTGCTTGGCTTTTATGATGGCTGAGCTTTTCTATGTTTTTATCAGGTGTTATGGTGATTGATTTGGTCACGTGGAGAAAAAATGGATGCACAAAGAAGATTGAAAGATGGATGGAAATCCAAAAGGATTACAGGATTTATGATCTTGGATCTTTGCCTCCGTTTCTTTTGGCTTTCGCTGGAAAAATTGCACCAATCGACCATAGATGGAATCAACATGGGCTAGGGGGTGATAACCTGAGAGGGAATTGCAGGCAATTGCACCCTGGTCCGGTTAGTTTGCTGCATTGGAGTGGGAAGGGCAAGCCCTGGCTCAGGCTAGATTCTGGCAATCCTTGCCCACTTGACCTAATTTGGTCTCATTATGATTTGTATGGTTCATCACTCTGATCTCGGCGCAGCCATATGCTGTTTTCTACATTTAAGATGAAATGCATTTGTTTAGAAATGACATTAAAAAAAAAAAAGAAAAAAAAAGAAAAAAAGGCAGTCGACAACATATATACACCGTTTATGGACAGCGTTTTGGTTTTGATTTTTGGCTTGTAATATAAACAGAATCATAAAATGCCAAAACTACATTGAAAATTTTGTATAAAATGACCCAAACTAACTACAGTACAACAGTTTACGAAACAGTCAAGACTATTACTTCATAAACTGAACTGAAAGCATTCATGGTGAGGTTACTTGAGATCTGTTTAGGTTAAACAAATGTCAAAATGTCACCACTAGCACCTTAATCTGAGTCTGAAGAGTAATCAGAGTGAGGATTCAATGTTGAAACCATCTTAGATAAAGATTCTCCAATATCTTCCAATTCGTCCTTCCCAAAACCCCAACCTCCAAGAAGTTCAGTTCCAACTGCCCCTCGCTGAATACCAAATCTGCGAAGATCGTGCAATCTGCGATCCAAGAATGGCAATATTGCAGTTGTGGAACGCAATCTTGCTGCCATTGGAATGGAATGCACATCAAGGGATCCCCTTGATGATGAACCTAAGATCGGGTTCCCCAATAGCTTGCCATGTTGGCCTACAAGATTTCCGAAGATTGATGGAAAAGGGAGAGGAATAGGTAGAGGAGGCCGGGACACAGATAGATAAGAGAATCTGGGCCTCTGAATAGAATTCTCGTAAGCAGCATGAACTGCTAGTTTGACCTCAGAAGCTGTAGTTTCTTGCTGTCCTGCTAATAAAATTGACAAAATGTGGATGAGGAAATCATTAGAGCAACTAGTAAATGCAAATATCCATCCACAGAAAGACAAGAATTCAAGCCACACTGGACAATTACCAACTACTACGACATCAGAAATGCCAACACGAATAACAAAATACTTTTGAACACTAGATTAAGGGCAGAATCTTTCTAGCAAACAAGAAAAGAGCCCTCTCAGTGTAAATACTGAAATTTCAGTTACAGACAATATCCGAAAGTTAAATCCACCTGTTCTTCTATTTAACTATTACACAAGAAGAAACGTCAGTGTTGTTTGTGTGCATGTGCGTATATTTTCAGAACCAGCTTTGGTTACAAACCAGAATTACCAGTCTGCTTGGGGTTCAGTTCTGGCTCAAACCACAAAAGCTGAAGTAACCAAAGAGATTCATGGTCCCGCAGAAATGTTTCAACAAATGTTTAAATACAAGGAGAAAGGGATTACTTAAAAAGATTTGGGACAAGTAAACAAGACAACATTTACTTCAAAGTGATGAGAAAATGCTTTTTGACATAGAGCACTATGGCGAAATATGGAGTATATAGCTAAACTCACATAGGATGAAAAGGACGAGGCTGTTATTGTTACCCTCTATTAAATAGCACATTGATGTGTATAATTAGAGCAGCATACTCGTATTAGGAGTCAAAATATTAGAGAATTCTAATAAAATTTCTTGAGTTGGGAATATTTACTGTTTCATCTTCTGCCCGACAGGACAGAAGGGAATTTCAAACTGGTTTCAATTCATGAGGTGAAGTCCTTTACAACCTAAGGGTAGTATTTCTTCTAAAATCTAAACAATGGGAATACAAGTTCAAGGTTCCAGAGACTGGCTTACTGAAATACCATTTAACATTTGTACACCTTTCAATTCTCAGGGGTTAGACAAAGACCCCCAACTGTATCAGGGAAAACAATATATTCAATTGCATCGGCTCAAGATCGTAAGCAATACCTGCTCCCAGGATTCCATGGATAGACATTGTCTCTATGGCTAGCGAATCTTCAACATCTTCTGCTACCTCCGGGGTCAAAGGTTGCAAATTCTGGAGTAAGTATTGCTCAAATTGGCCACCTAAATATAGCAAATTCACAAGTCAAAACTGAGGGAGAATAAATGGCTGCTCAGGAAAGATAAAGATTCAACAGGCGGGCTAATTTACCGTTCAAAGATGGTGCGGGCATAGCAACATCCAAAGTGGCAACTGTATTTTGTCTTCCTTGGCCTATCAACAGCTGTATGCCTTCGCTCATATCCAGCGCACCGACCGCATAGGTTGAATCTGCAGTCGGACCAAGTTGTTCCATCCGGAAGGGGAGACTGATGGTGTGAAAAGCAGATGCATAAACTGCACTGGAGTGATACAGCTTTTGATCTTCGATGCAAAGATATTTTGAAGCTTTGCCTTCACAATATCCAATTAAAGAGTCAATGAAAGATCAGGTTATAACAAGTACCACTTCAGGCAAAACAACAGAGAAAATACTAATAATCAATCTCACAAATTAAAGGAAGCGAATACGGAAAATTTTATGATGCTACAGTTTAAGCTCATAATATAATGCCTCTTACACAGTTGTGATATAAACAAAAAGTTACAACCATGAAAATAAACAATCGTACTAATATTCAGCTATCTATAAGCTCCAACGAGCTCGCAAGAAGGAAATATTATTTACGGTTTCAAAAGACAAAAAGGATCTGGAAAAACCAAAAACATTAAATTCTTTCTGTAAGTAGACTGCTTACTTGTACTCAGGGTGGGCAATCCTACAGGGACAATTAATTTACAGAAAGGTGATAGTCTCGAAAATGATATTGCATCATGAAGACTCTCAGAAATTGTCAACTTCTGACTGTTGGTGTTCATGTGGGAAACAGGATTACGGACTGAATATAATAACACCGGTACATTTGCATATTCATCGGCAATGTTCTCCAGAAATTCTGAAGCTACACCGGAAAACCCGCCGAAGTCATCAACCACAAATTGGAGTCCCTATTCAGGAAGGGATGGTAAGAAGAGGTAAGACATTCTCCTGGTAAGTAAAGAAAACACAGCTGGGCAGAAGAGTAACATCCATATCCAGCAGATGGGTCAGGTACTCCAGATTTTTTATTTCTTGGAAAAACTCTATAACCCAATTAAGGAAATAGGGTATAAAGGAGTGCACAAAATTTATTTTCAGATCAGGTGCCGCATACCCATCAGAAGACAAATCAGAACCCCTTCCAACTGGATTAAAACTTACAAGGGAACCGCAAAACTGTTACAGTTAAACTAAGACATCAAATTTCATAAATACCAACAAACTACACTCAGGTGACTCAAACAAATACTCATAGTCAAACGTTGCAGACAAGAGAACTTCAGCAAGTGCATGAATTTTGACCATAATTTTCCTTCATTTCCTTTGCCACTTCATTAAACTTCGGAAGATAGATAAGACAACTAGAATAAGATATGGGTACAATTTTTTAAGTGAAAAGAAATCGACTCTATATCTAACTACCTGAATATGGTCACACTCTTCAATGAAGAATCGGAGCTTGCTGCTCATTTCTTCCCCGTGCGAAGTCTTAGTAAATGCCTCCCTTCCAGTTCCATAGTCAAAACCTTCAACATCTATCCACAATCCAGTTAATTCATATAAACTCTGAGGATGATAGTGAACTTTGGAGAAGTCAGTCCAATATTTGACAGTATTTTCCAAAGAATCAACAATGTCTCTGTCCTGGATTTCATCCGTAGCTTCATTCTTCCCAGTGTCAAAAACATTAGGTCCGCTCTTACGTTCTTGTTCTTCTTCATACAAACTCTGTAAGAACAAATTTTTCTTTATCGGTTCAGATGCCTGAGTAGCAACTTTACCCCTCCTGCAAGTTGGTGTGATTCCTTTCATTATAAAAATATTTGCACATGAAAGAAACAAAATGGCAGTGTCTTGTGAAGCTGAGTAATTAAAAATACATGCAGAATTTCAACCTTCCAGATCTCAAACAACAAAAAAAGCGATCGATTACATTTATTATCATTAGGGCTCATGCGCAAATATTATATGCAAGTCACATTTTTGCAGTAATTTGATGTTCGAACTCAAGAAAAACATTTCAGAAGCATCACACAAGCATAGTACTCAGCCTAGAACGATACTTTCTCTATTGCCATTGTTCCATTGTATCAATTAAACATCAATCAACATCAACTAAACAATTAAACAATTGGGAAAAATCATTTGTGGCCAAACCAACAACCTCTTTAAGGCCCTCAAATAAAGATAGATGATGTTCTTAAATCACCTTCACGACGTGTTTGTACAATAAAATTCTTGAGAAAATCAATAAGCAATCATCTCAAAATTCTTACCATGAAACAATATCTGATGACAATTTAGGAGGAGTCTGATCGTACAAGGTTCCACGTGAACTCATAGACCCAAGGGATCCTGTTAAACAATGTTTTACTGTTAAACAAGTATCCTTCTTAGAGCGACTTAAGACATTGTTGTCAGGAGAAAAAAAAGAATGTTGAAATGATTTAGGCACATAAGATTGGATAGAATACCAAAGCATACATGGGGAAAAAAAAAAAACCGAAGCAGGGACTGGCCCAGTAAATAAGCAATACAAGAAATAAGTTAACCGAGATTAGGAATTGTGCATAGAAGACTTTCAGATGCACTAAGTACGAGGCATGGAAATAGACTAATTAACTCAAACTAAAACGATACTGGAAGACTTGAAAAGTACTAGGGAAAGAAACTAAATTAAAAGAAACCATCGTTTTTCTATGGACACTGGCTGGAAGATATGATTCACATAGATGATCTACATGGTCAGGTAAAGGTTAAAGAATAATCGTCGCTGTTTGGTTAGAAAAGGTACCAAAACATATCGACTTCAATGACACCAATTTCTCATTAGTTTCAAAGCATCTCAGAATATGATGTACTCCATATGCTAAATCTTTTGTATGGAAAAATGTCAAAGTTAGCATGCAAGATAGACCCTGATGATAAGATATCAGCCTAAACTTTGAGATGAACCATCACTCTGTGATCTAAGATGATCCTAAAAGAACATAGAGGGACATTATCATCCAAGAACTTTACATTGCTAAGCTCCATTATGTCTCAATTAAGCAAGACAACCAAAAAAATCAAAATAAAAAAGGAAGTAAAATGTGCATAAACATGATCCCTAGCTATTCCGACAACCGATAGCAACAGAAGCAATAATGATCTTCTTTCACAGTTATGCTTATCATACCTTGAAAATTTACTGAAACCACCCTAGGAGTGTATGTTACCTCCCCCTGAAAATAATCGACATGCATAAACGACACATCAGAACTATGAAGAATATAAAAAGTGCATGTGTAATAGAATTACGGAAATCAGACCAAATAGGAGAGATATCACTTAAAATAAAATGTCTGAGGTTAGAAACCTAATCTACCTGTTGTGTTTCACCGGTTCGATAAAGAACATCCATATCAAGACCGTGGTTCCTGAAGGCTGGTATACTCTCTTGATTATCAGTCAATCCAAGCAATTCATCCTTCAAGAACATTGAATTATTTGGAATATGATTCAATTAGAACACTGATCAAACAATGCCCAGGCAAAAGAAAATATCTATGTAAATAGTTTAAAGTCTAGTTCAATTGTCAATGCTATTACTAAAGAAAGATTAATAAATCAAAATATTCTTGGGACAGACATGAGCAAATACAACTGAGACATGGAAAAAGGAAAGGAACCGTAACGCAAAATCTAGAGAAAGATTTGGCCAGAAGATCAACTAACACAAGACTAAGTGAGATCAACTTGCACAGGGAAATTTAAGAGATGCTCAGGGAAATCAAAATCTATATTGTATATGTCATAAAGCGAGAAATTCTTTATTTCTTTGTAAGCAAAAAACATGTGCCCGATTAAGTGAGATATCCTTCTAAGCGATCAAAGCTGATTACGTGACATACTTGATTTTCCTCATAAACAACAATTAGTGATACATCCTTCTAAGTTATCAACGCCGCATCTTCTCTACTCTAAGTACAGACAAATAAATCTTTTGAAGAAGAGTTTTGCGTCCTCCGAACTAATCTCCTCAAGCAATTTTCAGAGGGAAAAAAAATAGAATCCTAATACCACAATGTTTCTCGTTCATAACTGCCCCCTATCACGGGTCATAAAGGGAGCCAGAGAGAGAAACAAAGATAGGTCCTCCTCCGCAAGGAACATATATGACTGACCAACTCATGGCAAATCAAGCCATGAGTACAGCGTCTCCTACCAACACCAAGTACGTTACATCACTAGTAAAATGCAAGTGATCAAGTGTGTCCATATAAAATAGCAAGCTATAGTCGAAACATTTGAGTTTTAATTCTAATAACATTGATCTGACTAAAACTGCCTAACAGTTGAGACTTCAATCAATTTTAGCCACTGCCAACTGCAACCTAAACACGTAAACAAGAGAAAATAAATAATGCGGAATCTGGAGCAACAAGAGCGTTTCACGAAAAGACAACATGATAGTTGATACTATAACTGATGCTGATACAAAAGGGGAAACGTAGTCAAATAGCAGAAAATAACTGATGGCCACTCTCAATTACAAGAAACCAAACATAATAAGAAAGAAAAGCAGATATAGGTCACCTGGAAATTCCAGAAATGAGAACCGATGAAGTTGGCGTAGCTTCCAACTTGGACGGTTACGATTTCCCTCATAATTGCTACAATGAAGATGAGCAGCCGAACGCAGTTCACAAACGAAGCTTTTTGATTCCGGAAAAACAAATGAGGTTCGAACGTTCAAGTCTGTAGTCGCTGGATTTTCCTCTTCACTGTGTTTACTGTAGTCGAGCTTAATTGGCAAAAAAAATCATACAATATTACATAAAAATAGTTTTACTGGCATTAATGCCGGAGAAGAAGAGAAGATTGAATGACTGATCATAGGGGTGGAAAGCGGCGGAGGTGGTGGCGACGGGAAAGTGAGGAAGGCGGGGGGACGTCAAGGTTGAAGTAATTCCGCCCAAATCAGTCCCCTAAACAGAAATTTTATTACCATTTTTTTTTTACTCTTTTATGTTAGAGAAAAAATTTGACTTTCAAATTTTTATTTTTTTTTTTGGAATTTTTTCACTAGGTTTCTTCGAAACTGTAATTACTAATTACTACGTAATATATTTTTCAGTAAATATGGTTTTCTTTTTATATTTTCAGTATGAAAATCACACACTACAAAAATGTTCGAAACTGAAAAAATAGATTATCTTGCGATAACTAGTTCAATTTGCCACTTATATATATACACGCATGTATGAGTCCCAAAAGAAAAAGATAAATTGGAAGCAATAGAGGTGTTGCTTGAAGTATTGGACAGAGTTGTAGATAGAATTACAGATTACTAGTTACATCTAGGATCTAAGTGATGATGATGAACAGTTGAAATATAACATGTTTGTTTCATTTTTTAATGTGTGTTTTTAGGTATTTTTTGTATTAAAAATATAAAAAAGTGTGTTGAAAATGTAAAAAGATATGCTGGGATAGAACAGTTATTAATATATTAATTTGAAAAAACGATAAAAATATGAAACGAACCAAAATTTTTCAACCATCTTTTTGTTTTGTTTTACTTTTTCTTCCTTCTATAAGTTTTTTTCTTTTTCACAAGTGATAATCATAATATATTAAGAAAATAGTGAGTTATATAAAACCACAAAGGGTTAAGCTACAATAACCATAGGTTAGACTAAAACAACCTAGCCTGTCAAACTTAATCAGCTCCAGGTCTAACTAATTTGAGTTAAGATGTAGTAACTACACTAATTACAGAAAAAATATTACAGTCAATAAAAGGATAGGAAGAAAACCAATAGTATTACAAAGAAAATACCAACTACTCACGACCTAACCTACACTGCAAATCTGGATCTAAATTTAGAGATCTCAAATCAAAGACGCCTATAAAACTTAGATCTATAACAGTAACAGATCTTCTCTCGTTACTTTTCAGACTTCATGTATATCTTCTTTTCTTTCCATCAATCTTGAATCTTCTCTCGTTCATCAGATCTACAAATCTCTCAAAATGAGAGAAGTAATATTTCCAAAAAATGGAAAAGCAAAACTCGTACTAAGAGCAGACTAGCCGATGAAAAAAACTAAAGCTAAAGGAATTGACCTCCCCCATAATCGTGGATGGGAAAGAGAAGAGGTGGTTGTTGGTAGAAGGGGTTTTGGATAGAGAGGAGGCGAGGAAGAGAGAGAAAGAGACACGAAAGTTTATTTCCTTCTACAAGTTATTGGCTGAGAAGATTGAGCATCTTTTTCACACATTTAGCCTCTGTTTGGTTGGTTTTTTAATGGTTTTTTCATATTTTATTATTATTATTTGTTACATTTCAACATATTTTTTTACATTTCTAATACACTTTTTTATATTCCTAATACAAAAAACACTTAAAAACACAAATTAAAAAAATAATCAAAACATAACCTTAGATTAACCCTCCTCTGATTTTCACCCTATGCAACTCTACTTCCTCTATCTATCCGAGAAGGTGCAGTTTTCAAGCTTTTCAATCATTTTTTTTTCGGGGGGGTACGTGATCCATGAAGGAATCCAAAGCGAACAATGAGGCTGATCAATATGTCATGTTGTTGTAGAAGGTCTCAAATCCTCGTATGAGATAGAAATTAAAAAAAGTTTTGAATTTTTTTATTCATGTTTCTTCTAGCAAAGTTTTTCAAAGTTTCGTTGGATTTCTAATAAGCTCGGGACTTCACTTTAAACAAACAAGTGTTTCCATGGTTGGGGGGTGATACCACCTTTTCTGGGTTTCTGTTCTTGGGCATTTTATTAGATTGCTGCATTCGTCTTGGAGTAATTTTTGTTGTTTTGAATCGAAGCTATGTGGTGATATACAATTGAGGAACAACAATGGTATATATTCATAGGATTCAGTAACCATTTTCAGTTCTTAAGTAAACCTTCTACATTGTATAACTAGATACTCAGCTTCTTGATAATTCTCACAGGTGTTTAGATGAAAATGAGTCCATATCCAGTGCACCCGGGTATACCGTATACCCTTACTAAACACACGCGTTATACGCGCTTAATATTTTTCATCTTTACATTAAATGATGTACTTGCATTTTTTTTTACTGGATAATCACTATAAAACATTCGGATAATCAGGTGTAACAAGTTGGATAACTAGTACAAAGATCCTGGATAACCATTACAAACGGTTGGATATTGCTGGACATTGGCTGGATAATCAATACAAAAGTCCTGGATAATCAATACAAAGCATTGGATAATCAGTTTACATCTTCTGGATAACCAGTTTACAACTTGTGGATAACCAGTACGACATATTAATTGGGGGACTTCGGCCCCCATGATAAACTAAACGACTTCCGCGGCTACCGGAATCGCAGGCCCCCAACCTGCCCCGGCTGCGCCGCCCCGCCGAACACGCTAATGTAGCTAAGGTAATCATTTTTTCGTGTGTGTGTAAGGAGAGTGTGTATGTAAGGAGAGTGTGTTATTGCGTTAAAAAGGGACACAAATTACTTGTATAAATCCCCCCGTGATAAACTAAACGACCCGGCTGCACCGGTACCCGTGGCTGCGTCGCCTTTCACGGCTATGCCGCCCTCATGCCGAACATGACAAAGTTCATAAATAGTATTTAATTGAATGAGGGGAAATTTGCCAAATGATGGAGAACAAAAAATGAATGAGGGGCATGTAAAAATACGGACAAGGATATCCAAGAAAAATATAAAATGAAAAAAATGAAATTTGGCAACTGGTTATCCAGCTGTGTGTAACTGGTTATCCATAATGTGCACACTGGTTATTCACTATGTCCATACTGGTTATCCAATAGGTTAATAATGGTTATCCAGCTGTGTGTAACTGGTTATCTATAGTGTCAACACTGGTTATCCACATGGTGAACACTGATTATCCACACGCGTTTAAAAAAAAAAAGAAAAAGAATGATGATTTATCTAACGAACTCACACTATTCTAAGAGATTAAATTACACGCGCAGGGGGTATACGGTGCTCCGGGTGTACCAGATAACTTGCCGATGAAAATCTTTAAGCTGAGATTTTGCTGTCGAGAAACATGTCTTCATGGCGATGAATCTAACATGTAATCTACGTGGCAACAAATAAATAACAAGAGCTTCTGCGTTGTTTCACGAATTGTCACCAGTAAATTTTTTCCGAATATGGCGCCAACAATTGTCTGTTCCACTCAAAAAGAAAAAATTTTAGTGTGTATAGAAGTTCAATACTTGGGGTATTGCAGCTGCAATCTTTTTCAACTAACACCGTTCATTTCGCTGTACTCTTCTATATATATAAGAGATGCTACAAAAAATTTCTCAGGGTAAAGAATCAATGAGTGCCCCAATTCTCAAGGTTTTTTCTTTTGGCTACCCACTTACACCAAATGCCTCTCTATACAAATTCCTAACTAAACCAAACCCCCCATCCCAGCTAGAAAACAAAAGAAGCTGTAATATGAACCAATTCAGCCCAAAAAATATGTTGAGTTACGTGAGGCATCCGAATCTTGTTCGTGTAAGGGTCATTCATTGATGGGGAGGATGCAGACAGAAGGTAGAAATCGCAAAAACTTTCTTGATGATTCAGATGCTTCAAATCCGTAGTATTGTCTTTAAAATTAGAAGAACTAGCATAACAGCACACATTATAATCAGAACTGTGGCGCACATAACTATTCCCCCTTGTTTTTGGGTTTTCTCAGCCTGCATTGACATGATACCAAGAGTATGAGAATGGGCAGATGGAAATAGAATATCATAGCAAAGATATACGAGTAAAACAGATTATTCAGTTGTAAGCCTAAAACCTTCTGCAGCTGTTTAAGGCCTTCCTCCACGGATGCTGTCACATTTTGGATATTGTAGTCAATCCTATCCACTATAGTACCCTGTTGGCAAGGAAAGATGTGATTATCAACATCCATTACAGGAGCACATCCAATTAATGTAAGATATTAAAAGCCCTTACCTGGTCAATCACCAGAACGGACAGATCTTTCATAATTTGAGCAAGTTCATTTACTGATTCATACACCTATAGGAGCCACAAGCGGAAAAATTGTGAGCCACGCCTTCTGTTAGCTTCGTTGAGGAGATCAAATATGCCAGTAAGTTACCTGTTGAATTTCTCTCTCCCTTTCTGCTGTGAAAGCCTCACTTTTCTTCAGTCTGGCCATCTGATGTTCATTAAATCCCTGGTAAAGTAAGGAATACGGTCAGATAGATCAGCCAAAAAAATAAAACCCAATGATATGATATCTTGAAAACCACAGTCATATAGTTGCATAGTTTGAGTGAATGTTCAATCTAGCCTTCTTTCTTTCAGACCCTGACTCCCCCAAAAGTAATAATCAGAACAAAAGGTCCTAAAATCTGGTTCAAGTATCCCTCTGGCGCAAAGAGGAAATCATGGAACTCAACAGCAAGCAACTAAGATTTGTCAAGGTTATAGCAACTGCATTTCTTAAAATCGATAATTACTTCATCAGAAAAGTTCTTTGGACGAACTCAATCACATTGACAATGATATGAAGCATATTTAAGGAAACGGAAATAACAAAGAAAAGCGAAGGAACCGCCATGAGATACAACAGAATGTGATACATTGATAACAGGAAAACTTTATTCTTTTAAAAAAGGATCAAATCTTACCAGGTCATCAAAATCATCTTCTGCCTGTTTGGAATGGCTTCCGTTCAAGTTCATTTCAAGGTCAACTCCATCAGGACCCTTGGCAAACAGAAAAAAGAAAAAGATATTAAAGAAAATCACAAAAACAAGAAAAAAAAACAAAAAAAAAAAGGATAGCACAAGAAAAACAATAAGATAAAGCCCCCGATAAAAAAACCTATGAACGAATAGCAAGGAAAACACAGATCAACAAAAAAAGCAAAACAACTCAAAGTTGCCAGACTGGTTGCATTTACGCAAGCCTGACTTTTAAACAAGAATAATCTACTTTTTTGCAACTTGAACATGACCCAGTTTTACAGAATAAAGGCAAACCTCTTTCTGCTGCTGTAGTCGCTTCAGATACTTAGACTGATTCTTCCGAAGTTCTACTGAGAGGCTCTGAAGGTCAGTAGCAAGGGATCGCTGTCACCAAAAAAAAAACATAAGTTGTGAGCACAGAACTGGAAAACACTGTCTAGTCTATACATGAAAAAGCTATAAGTGTAAGTCGGGTTACTTTGTCTGTTTCTTTTTCTTATTCTTATTTTCAAGTTTGAGCATAAAAGCAAGAAGACTTAAGTTCCTTGAAGCACACAACGTAGTAAAATGGAAAAAGAAAAATAGATTAAATGATTTATAAACTAACAGCAAAATCGAAAATAGGAAGTGTTAAAATCAATGGTCCAATGCAAGCTCGACAGATGACTCAGATAGATGATATACGCAGTTTACATCACGTCCATACTTTCCATGCTGGGAGTAAATACAACTATTTTACAGAAGGAGCATCAAAATTAAAGGGGATAGATTAAAAAAAAAAAAAAGAACTAGTCTTGTTAACCATGATTATCAATTATGATACGGGGAAAATGCTTCCAATGTGCCCATGTATCAGTTCGATTGAAGTTACAATCTTTTAGTGCCTTCAACTGCATATGCTACATCATACTTAATATAACAATTATATGAACCTAGCTTTTCCACCATACCTGCACATTTTTCCGAACATTTGAATCCTCCGAAGGCCCACCTGCAGTAAGTCTTTTTAACTGTTTCTCTGATTTTCTCAATAGATCAGTTATTTCTTGGGTAAGAGACTCAATCCGGCGCTGATCTTCTTTCCCATCCCCAAAGGAGGGCATTAAAGCCTTTGCATGAGCCTTGGCTAGCTCAGCCATTTTTGCCCTCGCTCGTTGCACATTTGCTGCGATCTCTTCAGAAACATCTACCCAAGCTGGGGGCAAGCCAACTGTTACCGCACCTCTACTGCAAGAAAGAAGAACTATGATGAACATTTTAACCAAGCTGAGAGTGCAATCCGTACAAAATTTGAACAAAAGCTGACTGCGAAACACAACAATGCCAATAGTTTTAATCAAAGAATTTATTAACAAAAGATGATCACAAAACAAAAGATTCCCCCACAAGTTTTCAGAAGTTCACGTATATTCAATTACAGTTGAGAAATTCGGGATACAGAGAGAGAGTTTAGATGTTGAGAAATATCAACTAAAATTGTTAGACATAAGGAAAGAGAGTTTAGATGTTGGAAAGAGCACGGCTTAATGTGTTTTCATCCCCATAATTGAGTCCATAGAGAATTTCAACCCAATGATCAATGCACATACAAAGACATCCTAACAGACATTGTTACAAAAAGCATGGATCATATCAAGCCCGAAAAAGGTACAATTTACATTTTTTCCTCAGTAGATGCAATATGCATGCAAATCGAAGTCAACATTGCACATCTATGTTTGGATCGTTTTTCCAGTGCGTTTTTTTAGGTGTTTTTTGTATTGGGAATGTAAAACGGCACATTGGAAATGTAAAAAAGGTATGCTGGAGTAATAGCTGTTATTACAAACTCATTCTTGAATCTTTTAGTTCCATTGGAGTAATATATGTACATCTAAAATGTAAGCTGCAATTCACCAAAGTTTAGTGTTCTAAATAGCATGGCATAATGCCCATTGCCATTCCTCAAAAGACATACATCCCGAGAGCCCGAGATATATAAGTACATCTCCCATTTTTGTTCGAGGTAGGTAGATAACATGTTAAGTATCATAAGCATTACCAATTAAGAAGTACCATTATTATGCATAAAAGTCGCTACAGATTTTATTTTCTCCCGGAGGCCTCCACACAAGAGGCCATTGTTTGGTCAGATGAGACTACTATGGCAGCATAAACACTCATAAAAGCTTTTGGATTGAGCGAATATTTCCAACAAGGGGAGTCTACCGCAATGCTTACTGCAATATGTCTTCACACACATTTGTGGATCTGAACAAATCTTATGCTGGAAAGAGACTATAGTGCAATGATGGGTAACACTTTCTAAATGTTTTCTATAAACCTTTAAGCAAAATCAGATATATTTTTAATCCAATCAAAAACCAGAAGAATCACTGATATGGTTCATATATGTAGCAACAGTTCGCTGTAGATACACTTTCCAATCCAACTGAATGTACAGAATACAGGAACACCTAAGTCCAAGCATAATCCAGAATACAAATCTTTATAATCTATCAAAGATGAACAAGAATGATCATAGTCCATGTCAATCATAATGGCCATGCAAAAGGTAACGAGTTTCTCTTAGATTCAGTTTCTTTAATTTCTCTAAGCTCGCCAAGATTGGAGGAGCACTCGATCTTCCGCAAATAAATCCATTGTTTAAACTATGATATTTAAGATGCATGTAGAAACAATGCAGTAAACATCCAAACACTACCTCAAAAATAAATAATTCACAAACACTACCTCAAAAATACATAATTCACAAACACTACCTCAAAAATACATTATTCACGGATAAAGCATGCAGTTGGAAGGTAACCAATAAAAGGGCTTCAAAGTTATCATCAAATACTTAAAAGATAACCTCATAGAATCAGCTACAATTTTCAGCCGGCAATCCCAAAAAGATACTGAAAATTGAAAGCTTATATTTCAACTAAATAAAATAACAGCTACAATTTCATTTCTAACTAAATAAGCCCCAAAACTCCGGTGCTCCACTTCAGACACAAAGACTTTTTTCCCGAACTGGAACCCACAACATGATATCAAATCTCAACCGGGCAACTACATTTATCACCACAATACTCGTTTCTCCCTACATTCATAAACCCGACTGCAAGTAGAATTCACACCGATACACATCGCAATTGTAAAATATCGCGTCCCGTGACAGATGCTCAATGCCAATTTCAGAAAGATCATTATCACAAATTATCAAATACACGAAACAGAAACAAGTTACAAACATTTACCTAGATGTCCCAGGATCTTCAGTGCTAAGAGGAGTATACGAGCGGTTGGGATTGAGCAACGACGTTGTAGACAATTCGATCACCGGACCACCACCGGAACTAGACGAAGGCGACGGGTAAGAGCCACCGGACGGAACTCTGACGCTCTTTAAAGCATCCCTATACTTTCTAAACAGAATCGTTCTATTTCTCGTAGCCATTTTATTAACTCTTCCTCTAAAATATACAAACCAGAAAACTAATCAAAACCCCAAGGGGCAGCAACAAACCTACTCTTTCAAAAGAATTACTACTCAGATATCAAATGATGGGGGGGTTTCGGAATTGGATCTCGGCCTGATGAGGTCAATTCATTATTCGGGTATCTAATTGACCCGATTTGGGGTTAGATCAGGCGATTAAAGGAATCGGCGAGTTGGTGGATTTTTCCGGTGAAGTGGAGGACAGTGAAATCGGAGTTTGAGTAGAACTTGAGCTGAGTCCGAGGAAACGAGTTTGGGATTTACGAAGTGAGTTCTGTAAATAATACTAGTACCATAAATTGAAATCGAATCCACCATCGTTAAGGAAGAAGAGGAGTAAAAATGAGGAGCAGTGGGTCCCTCAGTTTGGCCACATCATCAGATATAGGCCCATGGTATGTGTTTATTTCCAAATTTTAATTTTTAACACAGTTTTTTTCCCTTTGACCAAATATTGAACAAAGAGCTTTAGATACAGAGAAAATTTTTAATATTTAATTTCTTTATATAAGTAGATTACAATGAAATGGTAATCAAAGAAATTGAAGAAAAAGAGCTTGCACCCTCTGAGTTTCTTGTGTCCACCATGGGATCATCTCTGCCATCAGAAAATTGCATTTTACATAATGGAAATTTCTCACTTAACATATAAGATAGTTAAGTGCATTCACAGATAAGGTAAATTGTGTTCCAGATCATAGTTGTTGTTAAATAGTAACAAATTATTACACAAAATAGTTTAACCAGTGATGCCCCTATAATATTCTCCTTTGTTGCATTTTTATATTGTTACTAAATTCTTAAAATATTCTACTTTGCAACCAAATTATTTTCGTATTACTTCTTTGTCACATTTTTTTATTGCTATTTCTTTTAAAAAATTATAATTTATATAAAAATTGGTCGTGCAACACTCGATAAAAAGCAACCTAGAAATTAATAAATAAATAAATAAAGGTAAAACTTAATTGACTTTATTAATCTATATTGGTGCGTCTTTCCATCACATATCTAAAAGTGGACTATGTATCACCAAATTTTGAATTTAAACAATTTAACAAATAATTATATAGATAAATAAAGGTGTACTTAGTGGAATTTTATGTCAACCAAACAATTTTTAGTACATTTGTAAAATACAATTTGTTCATTTTTCAATGAAGTGTTATATTTTGCCTATCATAACAAAACATGTGAATGCAATCTGAAAATCAACTTATCAGTTGTATAATTGTTACCAAATACAATATATGTTTATAACGACGATACTAAAATATCTTTAAATGGAAAAAAATAGACCCCAGATAAAAAAGTTTCCAAACCTGTACTTTACATTTTTTTTCGTAAAATGGGTTCATTATTTCAATTCAGTATAAAAATATTTATTTTAATACATTTCAAATTATGAAGATCGTGTATTTTGACCAATATATTTTCCAATAAATATGTATAAGTCAAAAATTAGATACGTTCTGGCAACTTGCGAATTTATTGTCACGAGGAAAAATATGAATAAGTTCTTCGGTTCTCCCTAGTCACAACTCGTAATATATCGATTATTACGTCAAGTAAAAATCCATATATGTCATTCATTAATCGATAACGATAATTATCGATCCAACAAATTAGGAACACACATATTTAGAGATACATATTCAAATATTACGAGAAGGTAATATAATCACAATCATAATAGCACTACTAAATACTAATATATTATCGATTTATAATCGAAGTTTAAGTCTTGATTAAAGTTTCAGTTTTGCAGGTAATCACCAATAGGGAGGATAACTGAATAATATTAAAAGAAATGTAGAGGACTAAAACAATAAAATGTTATTTGCTAAAAGAAATACGGAGGATAGCTTTAGTGATTATTAGGATCCAACCAAAACCGACTTACTGTAATAAGGCGGTGGTTATGACTCAAAAGGATGTAAAGTTAGATTAGGCAATTTGGCGGATGCCCGGTGTGGGTGGACAGCAGCCATTGGTTAGGCCAACACAGCCAACTATTTAATTCATTATTATTCCATTCATTTTATACCCTTTTTTTTTCAGAAAAAAAGTTAAAATGAAAAGGAAAGGTGTTTCTCTACTGTTTTATTCATTTATTTTTTTTAAGAGAGAGAGAGAGAGAGAGAGAGAGAGAGAGAGAGAGAGTAGAAAACAGAAACCTAACTTCATAAATACCAAAAAACTTTCTGTTACACCATTGTTTATTTATACTTTTATTTGAAGGATGAAGAATATGCATATTTGGGCAAAAAATATCCAACGATCGACTTTTTATAATCTTTGATATGGAAAGTATAATCATGAATCTAACGGAAATTCCGCTCTCTTGAATGATGCGGTTGATGATCAAACGAATATTATAAATTCATATAAATTGAAATTGTGATACAATAACTAGTATTCGATAACTGTTTTTTTCGATAATACTCGTATTAAAGGCAACGAAAAAGAAAAGAAAACTGTTTTCTGGTAGTACTACTTGTTTTTTTTTTTTTTCCTTTCATTCAAATAAAGATAAATGCGTGATTAGGACAACAACAGATAGCACAGTTAACTATTTTTTTTTTTTAAAAAAGAACACAGTAGTATATTAAAACAAAACCGAGTGACTGAGAAATTAAAGAATTATAAAGGGAAAAAGAAAAGAAAAAGAAAAATACAGAAAAGGAAAATTATAAAAGCGTGTGCGTGTGTGGAAGACAAGTTTCTCCTTCCTTTCGGTGGATTTTCGTTTCATCTGCAGAAAGCTCTCTCTTCTCTCTCTCTCTCTCTCATCCGTCACATTTTCTCACTCTTCAACCATTTCACAACCCTAACCAACCCTCTTTGCAAATTCGAACCATTTTGGTATACAAATTTAATCCGGGTGGGTTTTTTTTTTTTTTTTTTCTACAGGATCACTACTTCAGGACCTCAAAACTCAATTTTTGGTGATAAAGCTAGCTTCTTTTTTTTTTTTTTCATTTTTTCCTCTACCCTTTTCATTTCTGTTGCTAATTTCCCGACCAAATCGAGGTTTTAAACCATGGATGCTGATTCTTGGAGCTCCCGTTTATCGTCTGCTTCCAGGAGTTATAAATCTGCTCTTCAATCCCGATCTGGTAAGCCTTTCCTGCCTGTTTATCCACGGAAATGTTTTCTTTTTGGTGTTTCCATTGATTTTTAGGTTAGGGGTTTTTGAGTTTGTGTACGAATTTGTGATCTAGGATTGAATTTGATGGGTTTTATTTTCTTTTTGTGTTTGTGGTGATGATGTTGATAGGTGGAACGAAATGGGATGGGTTCGATGCAGAAATGTTGATGGGTTTCGAGGAAATTGATGTTGCAGATGATGATATCAGAGAGGAGTATCCATGCCCTTTTTGTACGGACTATTTTGATATCGTCGGGCTTTGCTGTCATATTGATGACGAACATCCTGTTGAGGCTAAAAATGGGGTATCTTTCCTGTCTTCATTTTTGCTTTTATGTTCTTTCTTTGCACATGAATTTTGAGAAATTTTTAGCTGTCTTCCTTGGGCACTATCTCTTAAAGATTAAGCTGCTCCTGAGAAGAACTGAGTAGTCGCATCTTACTGATTCATTTATTTTTTTACATTAGAACTCTTGCAGTCCAAGGTGCATTAGAATGTCATATGTATTGTCGAACTGCTCTTCAGATTTTTATTCTCAATCCTCCGTTCTTTGTTGAACTTGAAATTCTTTGGTGGTAATATGACAAGTATTTAGTTGTTGAATACGTTCTTGATAGATGCGAGGATGAGGTGTGAGTCCTAAACTACCATGTTGTGTAGAAATAAGTGTCAAAAAAAAAAACAGTGATATTCATGACAACATGCTTTTCCATCTTCTGTGGACAATCTAATATGGAATTTGTGTCCCTTTGTGTTCTTCAATTACTCACTATAAAACTGCCAACAAAGAATTTCGTACCAATCATTTTGTGACTTCTCAAATATTCTGTCTTTTAGCTGGCTTTATTCTTTGTGGTTAGAGGTGGCAATTGGGCGGGTAGGGTGGGACTCGGGCGGGTAATTAATGGTTGGGTAGTTATTGGGACTGGGATTAGTCAAGCCCTATGTGTTTTCATATGGGAGGGAAATTAATGGGATTAGGATTTGGGTAACCAAGACCCAATGGGATCCCAACAAAAATGATTGTTAGATAAATTAAGGAAAAAAACTTGGTAAAAAAAAATGAGAATAAAAAAGAAAGAACGGTCAACGTTAAAAGAATACCAGCTTCTGCCAAACCTCTTAGCAGAGTTGCCGCACCACCACCGCCGCTAACGCTAAAATTAGATTTTAGAAGGAAAAACAAAAAATAGTGTATGGCCTTATTTTTGGCAATCGAGAGGCAAAGAATGAGTTTTGATATCTCATATCTGTCACTGACCCCGACAAAGGTGCAATGTTATTAACAAATTTGAGGTTTTGATCGACAATTATGGATTCAGATATGAAAGGAATTAAAAATCAAATGATAATGCCGCAAGTTCAGTAATTTTAATGAGATAAACTTAAGTTTTACTCGCCACGGCGAAGTCTATGGTGGGTAGCAGCGGAAGAAGCGGCGACGACAAGGAATGAAGTAGATTCTATGGAGAATAACGGTGGATGAAGTGGCTAGGGTTTGAACCTGATGTTGAGATTATTACCCACTTCTACCATTGGTTTCCCATGGGAACTAAACCCAATCCCAATATAATCTAGCCCAAAATAAACACACACCCAAAAATATCGGTGGGAATACCCTCCAATAAGTAAGAGTCCCATTGGGATCCCAATGAGTTTGGGTATTTTTGCCAGCTCTATTTGTGGTGTCTAAAATCTTCTAACAGTTGGTGAGACATGTTTTAAAGTTTCTCATTAAATTTACTGCAGCTGTACAACTCAAAGTCAATTGTAAATAGACAAATTTATTTTTGATTACTTAAATTTCAAACTATCTCTGGGATCCTTGCAAATTCACTTTAGAGTCCTCTGATTCTGATTGTTATGGTTGTATGGTGGGTGGGTACAGTTAAAATTACTTTATGTGTATTGGAGCTTTCTGATTGACACGATGAATTCAATGCAGGTTTGTCCAGTTTGTGCGATGAGGGTTGGGGTTGACATGGTTGCGCACATAACATTGCAACATGGAAATATCTTTAAGATATCCTTATCTATTAATATTTTAATGCACTCTTTGTTTATTGAACTTGACCATTTTCTTTTGTACGCTTCAGAACTTCGTGGTTTTTCATAACCTCTATTAGACTTTCAGAGTGACTTTTCTCTTGGTTTTTTGAAAAGCCTGTTTTTCTCAGAAATTTGAGGTAATCTGCATTAATAGTCTCCTCTATTATCCCCCCTGTTGGAGTTGGGGACTGAAAGCCCTTTTTACACTGCATTCTGTACCTGCATTTAGCCTTGAAGCATCTGAAAGCTAAAAACTTGTGAGAGTTAATTGCTTAGGAGTCTGCATTAATAGTCTCCTCGATTATCCCCCCTGTTGGAGTTGGGGACTGAATGCCCTTTTTCCATTGCATTCTGTACCTGCATTTAGCCTTGAAGCATCTGAAAGTTAAAAACTTGTGAGAGTTAATAGCTCAGGAGTCCTAAAAAATGAATGGATGTACTTGATCCAACTTTTTTAATCATAATTTTATTACTGTGAGTTCCTTGACTAAAGATTACATGCAGCGTAAGCGGAAATTACGTAAGGGTAGCTCACATTCAACACTTTCGTTGCTGAGGAGGGAGTTGAGAGATGGAAATCTGCAGTCTCTTTTTGGAGGATCTTCGTGTATTGTTTCTTCTAGTAGTGCTGCTCCTGATCCATTGTTGTCATCATTTATCTTGCCAATGGCTGAAGATTATGGAACTTCCCAGTCACATTCTTCTGCTGCCACTGCTGCTGTCAAGAAAAGCACTAGTGAAATTGCTGCAGAGAGGTAACTGCTTCCGATTTAGTATTACTTGGTTACCTGTTGTTTGAACTCGGGATTTGAAATTAAAGGAGCATCTGGTGTGGAAATGAATTTCATCCTTAGATTCCAATACTACCCTGTCTTACTCTTAATATCTTTTAGCTATAAAAAGTGTTCATAGTTTTATCAAATATTTCGATGATGTTATTTCTTGTAGTTAATGTACTATTTTCCAATTGCATTGTTTGCTATATTTATTCATGATTGACCTGCTGTTAGTTTTTGGTGATAATATGGAAGTACTGATCCTAATCAGGTCCTTTTGTGTTCCCTTTTTTTTTGGAGAGGGGGGTTGTGGCGGTTAACCTTTCTCTTGGAGCAAAACGTGTACCTCCGTGCTTTTCTCTCAATTTATGTTTTGGGTCCGTTTAACCTGGTTTGCTGAACTTTTTTCTTTGATAGAAAATATGAGTTGTTGGTTGCAACTGGAAATCTTTCCTTGAAGAGTTTTACTGGTAGGATCTTTCGCTAAAATTCCGTTGGTATTATCCTTTTTATTATGGCTTTGGTCAACCAATACAATTTACAACCGAGATCGAATAAAGATCCAGGGATGGTTCTACACCTCTTGGATTGCAACATGCTTTTTGGTGTTGACCGTGGTTTTTTTTTTGGATATTATTGATTCTGACTCTAGGTGTATGTGAAATTCCACTAATAAAGTATTTTTTAGACTCTGGGAATATGTTGTTCATCTTTATGTTATGGTCTTCAGATGGTTTGTTTGGGATCTCTTGAACCCTAGTCAAATTCTCCATATCATGTCTAATGATAGGATTCGATATGCCTTGAGATTTTTTATTTGGATGTAAAGAGCACTATGCCTTTCTCTTTTAGTAATTGGTGGGTACCCTCTCATCAAATCCTTATGAACTACATCTCCTGGATTGGTCGCGAGTTTTTCTGGTCATTGATTTTCTGGTCTTCAAATGAACAGAATTAATTTTTCTGAACTATTGTTATATATGAGTTTTGGTGTAGAGGTAAATTGAAAAAGATTGTTGCAAGTCCGCTGTATGATGAATTGGCTGGGTGTAGAAGTTGGTACATAATGTTAACTTGTGGAGTCAGGAGTATCTTCAGGTCCACTAGCAAATAAGGTTTTTGTTACTTCCATTTCAAAATAGTTTGTAATTACATTGTTAGGGATATGTTTGCTTGGGAGGTGAGTCTGTAAATTTCCAAGTTGAGATTTCCAGCCATCTGCAACGTTGTTCAGTATCTTTCACATTAGATATAGTATCTCTGCTGTTTGCGTGACAATTTCTAAAAACATTTTTTCTTTAAGAAAAAAAAGAGCTCCGCATAAATCATTGTAAATCATCGACCATCAACATGTCTCCTGTTTATTTTTTAGCATGAGCTTATCCTTGTGATCATTAGGTTTTAAACAAAGAGCTTTGTTAATGTTCTGAAATAATCTATTTGGCTGACTCCATGAATTGTAAAAGGTTTGGATTGCGGAAATTGCATGATTGAGTTGGGGGTCTCATAATTGGTCTGTGTTTGTTTTTATTGCAGAAAAGCACAGACACCTCCATTGTCTATTAAAGATCAAGAGGAGAAAACAAAGAGGTCTCAGTTTGTGCAAGGACTGCTCTTGTCGACGATATTTGATGTTGACTTATAAAGTGCTGCTTTGCAGCTGGAGGCTGGCTGCCGGTGTCATGGACTTTGCTGAAACGATCCGCTCCAGAACAAAGCACCTTGATCCGTGGTGTGACTTGTAGCGGATATGCCAATTGTATGCAAAAGGGCGGGAGTGAAATAAGCTGTAGTAGTAACAACTGTAATTTATGTTGCAATGTAGACGTAGTTTATGTAGGCAGGAGAGAATGAAATCAGCTTTGTGTATTGTTTACTGATGCTACTTTATGCTTGATAAGCGATGAATAAATTTGGGCAAGAATCGATTGTGCAAATACCGAATCAGTCAAAAGACATCCGTTTCAACTATGATCTCGCTTCTTCTTTAAAGTTTAACATCTTTTGGTCTATCGTAAAATACCAACATTGTACGGCAGAAATACTTTACAATTGTTCAATCTTACACTGGTTGAGTAGAGTTGAAAATTCTATGGTTGGGTTGTTGTTTTTATCGCAAATATGTTTGTGAGATACCAGAATTTATCTTAACATGTCCTTATTAAAATGTAACCTCCTAATCATATAATCACCAACATAACTACGTATTACATTTAACTCGTTATAGGTTAAAATTTTTGAATTGTTTCTTTCTATGCGTCGGCTCCTCTTCAACAACATCAGACTAGCTCATCCAAACACCATTTTTATCCTTTTAATCGGCTAATGATCATAGAATATTTTAACCGGCTATTAATACATCAGAAGATAATTTTTAATAAGGAAGAGAACAACATCTTTTCCTCCTTATATATCCTTGGAAAAACGATTATTTTCAACAGTCATGGATGATGGTGTTCCCCCCTTTATTTCTACATTAAACATTGCCTTTACGGGGAACCACTTTGTTGAAAGTTTTTGGTTTCCTTTGAGGTGTATGGTTGACATGATTTAAGATTTTTCGTTTTCCACTTAGAATTTCACTTGCTAGCTAATAATAAATATATCAATTTCGGGTTATAACATAAATGAGAAAGATGATTTATGTGCTTGATCCTTCTCAGTTTTGACCATAATTTGGTGGACTCATTAATCAATCTTTTGGTACACAGCCAACCAAAATTGACAGCCTCAATGGAGATTTAATTTAAACCCCTTTCATCAATTTTGTGAAAGCTAGAATCAGTTTCCAAAGGAATTGAGCGTTTGTTGTTCAAAGTATTTAAAACTAGAGCCATTCACAAGGATGCGACACGTTAGAATACTAGTCACGTAAAATTGTGAAGTTGTTGCCGGTGATGATGGTGTTGACATGGAAACGGAGCTAGCCCAATCCTGCGGAAATCGACGGAATTAGGATGTGGTTTCTTCCTTTCTGGGTTTGCACGGCCGGTATAGTTCAACATGTTGTAAGTCACCTTGGCAATTATGTAGCGTTATTGGACGACTTTTTTTTATAAAATAAATAATGGCTATTATTATTAATCCTACTATTTATCCAAGGGCTATAAATATTAAACTGAGCAGTTCAGTCGAATGGAGCCACTCCCAACAAATAATTAGGTATACCCTTCGCAAGTTCGCAACTACTCAAAGGAACTAGCGACTTAATTGGCTTTCAAGAATGAAAAGATTAAGGGCTGGTTTACTTTATGTGGGACATTGAATGATTAAGCCTGCGACCCTATTCATGATCGAGTTAATATTACTTAGGTTGGGGGCGGTGGACATTAAACATTTTAGGAAAAAAAAAGAAGTATGAAGTCCATATGGATCAATGGATGATTAAATCGAATCGGTGAACAAAGTTCACAAAGAATTACATGAAATAATAGATACAATGATCACCTGTTACAGACCTATAAGGTTCAGTTCATGACGACCCTTTCATAAGACTGTTTATACAGGGAAAAATGAGGATGAATTCAATGAGTAATAAAACCTTTTCTTTTCTTTTCTTTCTTTCTTTTTTTTTTTTTTTGGGGGGTTGTTTGTATAATGACTACAAGCAGAAGAATCAGATGACAATTAATCAAATCATATCAACAAATACAACCTAACCGCACTCCTATGCTGATGATACAAAAATAGTTGCCTGCTGGGGGGTCATTATGAGAAAGAATGATGAGCTAAAGGAAATTGCCTTCAATGACTTGAGCCCTAATCCTTTGACAAGAACGCTACTCTGTGATTTATTATCTCTTGCACTACATCCCCTACAAACAAGTCAAAACAGGTTGAGCAATGGCGTTTCATTGGGCTTGTTAGTTCACCTGCCTCATTCTCCCCGTGAGTGCAAATTATGCGGGTGTTCATAGGATAAACTTCATTACTACGGTGCTCAAGCCCACATGCAGCTAAAATCGTGTGTGTAGAGCTCCTGGCAATGTCCTTGAAGGCAGTGTAACCTGCAGAGTGTCAGAAGTGACTCCACAGTTCTGTATTGGATAACATGGATAAAATGAAAGGCCATGACTAAACATACAAGACTTGCATGCATAGAAAGATTTGACCTATAAGTCCATGTATCAGACCCATATCCAAAGAATACTAAATTTCCAATTTAACAAGCAAAATTTATAGGAGAACTCCTCAAACATACCTAATAGTTTGAATGCAATGTTCCACCCCCACCATATGCAATTAAAGAGATGACTTCAAACAAAACTTACCTAATTCCCATTCCCGGGACAAGCTTTTTAAATGACTTTTAACCATAGATTGCACTTGTTCCTTTCCAGTGTTAAATGATCTCACCTCTCTACATTGAGGAGACACATTTGCATCAGATCCTATGTTTGGACCGCCACCACGAGGATGTATTTGCTGAATATCCACTGCTAAACTGTTCCGTGCATTCACCCCAGTAAAATCAGTATGGAACAAGCCACCAAAAGAACTACCCGCAGAAGTAGAAGCTTGATTTGAAACCACAGGTCCTCTCGAGAGGGTCGGTCTTGTAGGAAAAGCATCAGTATTATTAAACAAAAAAGAGCCATAGTCCTGTCTACCAGGAAAAGGCATGTGATTTGGTGGTATCCTTCCCTCTGATGCCACTGCATATTGAGGTGCTAGTTCCCTACCCCGGCCAATTTGAGTTCCAAGCAGACTATTCACAGAGAAGGGAGGCCGTGTGCCAATGATTCCAGTGTCCTGCAGTCTTCTGTTGGAAATAATTTGGTGTATCTGACGCTGAATTCTACGTCTCTCAAACAAAGTAGCTGCCCCTGATCCAGGAGTGGGAGAAGATGCTTGAATATCTGCTACCAAGAACCTTGGGGATGGTTGACCAGTCATTTGACTCAAAGGTGTATCAGGTACATATGCCTCATTCAGATCAAAAGTCTCCCTCACATTGCTGACAGGGGAAGAAACACTAGACAGGTTGTTACTTGTTCTACGATCATGAGGAGTATCTAAATGGGTACTCAATGACTCCATGGCAGTTGGCCTGCAGCCTTCACAGTACCAGTTACCTTCAGGAACTTCATGTCCAAGCCCAACACAGTAGGTGTGCGCAGGTGAATCACATAGATCGCATAAAAGCATCAGAGCATCATCGCCACCATGATGACATTCAGTACATATTACACTTTCGTATGGATCCAGAAAGCCGCGAAGCTCTTCTTCAGATGGTTGGTAAACCTATACACACAGTAACCACACTAAGTTAAACATGTCAATGAAAAACCAGAGACACGAAAATCACTTCATCAAAATAGATTTTATAAAAAAGGGTCATCAGTTACCTGATCACGCTCAGGAACCTGGATCACGACAGTCCTCAGATCAAACCCAGAATCTACTCTCGAGGGCTTACTTATTGTTATAAACCTTTGCTTGCAGAGAGGGCAGCGAGATTCAACCTTGGACCATTCCATAATACATGCAAAACAAAAATAATGACTGCAGCAATTCAGTGTTCCCCTGATGGTTCTCTTCCCTTCTTCAGACAAACAAATCCCGCAAACCTGCTTTCCTGTTTCAACCTTCAATACCTCTTCCTTTCCCTTACCTTTTGTTCTCAGACGTTTGCGTTGTCGATTGAAAGGTTCTTCTTCTTCTCTCGACTCCTCTTTTGGAATGGAACTCCTCAAAGCGGCTGATAAGTTTCTACAGAATTCATTAGCCTCCTGAATTTGTTCTCTCTCTTCCTCTGATATTGTGTATTCATAATCAGATAAACCAGAATTCACAAAGTCTGAATCAGAATCCAAAATTCCACTCCTCCTCCCTCTACGTCCAGTAATCTTCTTTTTAGGTTGATCTTCCCTAATTTTATTATCTATAAATTCCCTATCATCGCTGCGGTTACTTCTTTTATTGTGTTTGCGTGTCTTCTTTACAGTCTTCTTCAAAACTTTTGGGGTCCTCTTCCCCTTCTTCACCTTGCGAATGCTCTTTTTCTGCAATGGAGGCCTACCCAACTTCTTATTCTTCTTAGAGACCACCACATCTTCGTCATCCTCTAATTCATCATGAACCTCGTCTGGTCTAAACTCCTCATCGTCGTCGTCATCATCATCGTAATTCTCATCATCTTGCTCTTGATATGAAACCCTATTCTTTTTTCTTGGCTGCGTAACATCTTCATCCTCCATACCAAAATTTTCCTCAGAATCATTCCAATCATCGTCATCATCTTCTTCCCTGTACGAAGCCCGAGTGCTTCTTTTGGGCTTCACAGTCGTACTTCGCTTTCTAACTGGTTTAACCTTTTTGGTTCTTCCCGTCTTCTTCACCTTCTTTTTGGTATATTCCTCTTCCTCCTCTTCATCATCTTCTTCAAAATCGGCAAAACTCGCCTCAGATTCATCATCATCAAAAGAAGAAGCATACTCTTCTTCTTCAGACTCTTCAATCTCCTCCTCTTCACCCACTATGAAGTCCTCATCCGACTCATCGGAAGCTCCGTCCACCGATCTCGCCCTCTTCCTAGTTCCCCGCTTGAATCCAACCTTGCTTCCCCTCCCCATCAAGTAGCTCACTCACCTCTTTTTTTTTTTAAAAAAAAAAAGACAACCACGGTTTATAACTTATCTGCGTCCACCCTAAACCCAAGTGAATCAGAATCAAACCAGAGAAGGAAAATACAAGATGCTAGCAATTTTACTTGCAAAAATCTCTACATATAAAAGCACTGATTGTTAAAGATCAAAAGTTTCCAGTTGAGAACCTTCAGGCTAAAAACGAACTAAATACTGTGATCTGTTGATTCATTTCCAAATCAGGACCCCCTCCCCCATATGGCAAGTTAGATCATAAGATGTTGATAACCAGGATCGATCTGGGACATAAAAGGTATAGAATCACAACAAATCCCTAAAATTGAAAGCAAAAAAATAAAAAACCCCAGATCAACAAAATTACTAGGCTACAGCACCGTTCTAAGTAAAATAACTATAACGCATATCATCAACAAAGTAAAAGCAAACCCTAATAAAAAAAAAAAAAACCACCGCATCACACACAGAAAAAGGCAACAAACAAGATCAAATTCTTATAGCTGGAAATTCGACAACATTAAATTAATAACACTTGCCCCAGAGAATCAATCAATCAATCAATCAGGTCCCTAAAACAACAATTTCATCCCACCAAGACAGCTAACAACTACCTTAAGAAAACACCTAATTCCAATAAAAGTAAAGCAACAAAATTCAACACAATAAATAAATAGAGAAAAAGGAACGAGGGGGGTTACCTTGAGAAAAGGAGAAAGAAAAAAACAAGAAGAAACCCAATACGCAAAAATTCCAAAAACTCGCCCACAGTAAAGTATACAATTTATCTGAACGAAGAAGAAATGAATTGCAGAGAGAGAGAGAGAGAGAGAGAGAGAGAGAGAGAGAAGAAGTGTGTAAATGTTACAGGGTATCTTGTGTACGTATTTTTGTGTATTTTTTTGTATAGATAAATATAGTATAATACTAATAAGAAAAAATACGGGGTGGAGGTTGACGTACGGTGGAGGAAGGTGGAAGGAGAGAAGCGAAAAAATGAAAGAGAAGAAGGAAAGAAAGAAACTGCTTCGTTGGCTTTTGGTTGTGGTTTTATATTACTGAGGTGGTTTTGTTTTTGTCGGAGAAACGATGCTGCTTTTTAACAACGTTATTATTATTCTTCGGATTATTTTATGATTCCAATTTTCGGTAATGATTCAATTATTTAATAATTAATTAAAATTAAAAGTAGATGGGATTGGGATGGACTAATAAATAGTGGAGCCAGTATACAGAGTAAAATAAAACAGTAGGCGGCATCTTTATCTTAATTATTATCTTAAAATAAAACTAGGTGTTAGACTCGTCCGATGGACGGGGAAGGCATACACATTTAGACATTTTTACATAAATTTTGTATTTTTATAAAATATATAATAATTCAGTTTTAAATATGATTACCTCTGAATTTACAGAAATTTGTTTTTTTTATATGACATTTTAAATTCACTGGTGATAAAATTTATGCAGATTTCTCGAAAATTTGTTAGGATTTTGGTACTCTCTCCAATCAATCTCTGTGTTAGGATTTAGTTCATGAAAATAAGAGTTCGGTTTTTATTATTTTATTTTTTTAAAAATTACTTTAGTTGATTTTTTTTGTTTATTATTTTGTTATGTGTACCATGCTTTTAGTTTTCTCTCTTTGATTTTTGCTTTAGTATAGTATATAGAAGATAGATAGTTATATAGATAGATATAGATATAGATAAAACAGTAGGGGGCATCTTTATCTTAATTATTATCACCTAATAATTTATTTATTTTTTAATAATCAGAAAGATTGGGGCTTTTTCTTTTTCTTTTTTTTTTTTTTTTTTTGCAATATACTACTCCCCAACTTGCAGTGTGGTGGGGGAGGCGTGCGTCTTTGTGGAATTACGTGAATGCCCTTTTTCTGCCGTTTGCCGTTTTCCTTCTTCTATCGTTGAATTTTCGGCCCAACTTTCGAGTGTTGACCACCAGCATTTCGGCCCAACTAGAAAACAGGGAAAGCTTTGAAGACGGCGCAGAATTTATTCCTCAACGTGATTATTACTTTTAACTTTTTACCATAGTTATTCATTTTCTTTTGCTAGTCACGTTTTTCTTTTCTCTTCAATAAGTGCGAATGTTACTATAATATTCCTTGTGTACATTACTGTCTGATTTAGATTTTCACTTTTAGTTCTATTTACACTAAAAATAAAAATTCAAATATGATAATAATTTCAGAACAAAGGAATATAATAGGAACTCATTGGGGGTACTTTTATGCATGGCAAATGAGTATACAGCCTTATTTCTATTACAAAAAAAATAGATTCTCATTTAAAAATCCTAAAACATCTCACATTTAGTTGATAAAGAAAACCAGATTTTTATATTAGCTCTGTTCCGAAAAACCAATTCACATTGAAATTTCAAATTTACTTTCAATTTGTTTGTGGGGAAAAAGAATTCTCTTATTTCTGAAAAAAAATAAATAAATAAAAGCTCTCAATTTGTTTATCCGAATATTTTTTGGCTTTAGCAGCGTTTGTGGATCAGGTTACGGAGTCAATTACAAATATTGTTAAAGATTTAAACTTGGGAGTAAATAAATAAGTAGTCGAACTTGGGCTTCCCGTTATCTTCCAAAATGGGCCTAGAAGATTCAATGTCGACACAAATTGATCGTCATTTTTGCTAAAGAAAAGGACTTACGGTATCATGAGGGCTCCCACGGCCCAATTATCATACCCGCCTGATTGATATGTTTTTTCCCAAATTAAATTTTGACAATTGGTGCTTCTTATGAAATTTATAAAAAAATTTACTATATAACTTTGATAATAATAATGTTACAAACCTTTTATACTCCTTGGTCTTAAAATAATTATTTATTTTGAACTATCAATCTTAGTACAATTTTATTATAAATAAATATTCAAAATGGACAAAAATTTCGGAATGAAACAAGTAATTTGTTGTTTCCGCGTCACCACTAAAGATTTTCCGTATTTAAAATTAAATTCACTGCCCTAAGAAAAAAAAAGAGTTCTACGAAATTTCATCCAAGTTCCTAGCATACAGTCTAGAATTCAGAAGAAGAAGAGGACCAAGGTCATTTCATCTTCTTTAACTCTTGCTCTAAAACAATATGTAATAAGTTGATAAATAAATTGAACTAAAAAAAATTCCCCCCTCCTATCTGTCGAAACTTTAACTAATTATATAGAATGGAGGACTAATCATGAGTGTTGTGATAAAGATGCCTCGTAGTCTTAGAGGTACAAGAATTTATTTTCCGTAGTTACTCAAGTCTTACATATATTTCTTTAATTTATTGGTTAATTTTGCAGTGAAAATAAGAAATGGTTAAAATTTCAATTAGTGAACAAGTAACACATAAGACATTTGCGATTTGAGTACAACAGAATCAATTATATATTAAAGTGAACAAGAAATCAGAATCTAATAAGGATCTATTTAGGGTGATGCATGAATCAAATCGTTCTAGTGGCTCTCTGGTTGATATATCAATCAACAGTACCTCATTTGTTTACATGAGATCTAACTTAATATATCTGTCTAGCTAGCTTTTTCTCTTTAAGCACTTAAACACGATTCACCTTTATGCAACATCAAACTTTATTAAATAAATTGTTGTTTAATTAATCCAATTGGGCTTCTTTATTGTTCATCATGTTGTCTTAAAAAGTCACCCAAAATCACCAACATTGAGTTGTACAAGTTCACTGATTGCAGACCGGGGGAAGGGGGGTGGTGGTCATAACCTGCATGTGTCCTTAGAAGTAGTACTAATAACAATAGTGAGCTCCAAAATTTGGCAATTTATCACATCAAACCCTAAGGATGTAACCTAGTAGGGGCCGAAGAGGTTGTATTATAATGGGGGAAGAAAAAAGGTTGTCTATTCCTATCATGATATGAGGAAATAAAGATGGTTTATCTCTTCACAAGTTAGAATTGGCATGGGTCGACCTTTGTTCCATAAAGGAAAACATCCCCATTTGAGAGAAAGAACTGCTTTAAGCTCAACTCCCTTGTTTATCACTAGGTTGTATATTGTGTCAAACTTAAAAGTGAGAAGCATTTTATTTATCTTGATCCAACAACGATATGACTATAGTATTGTATATTCTCTCTGTCCTAAAATATTATCCAGTTTGAAATTTCACCTATAATATAATTTGTGCTAGTAATGAAATATTAAATTGGAATGAAAATCCAAACTGGACGGACAATCATTTTCAGACGGAGAGAGTACATCATTCTCAACATCATACCCCTACTTTTTTCATCCCCGGTTAAAACTTGGTTTTGTTTGATATTGCCTACCTCTTTCTCATAATCATCAATAACTAATTATGTCCAAAATTTCATTAATCAAAACTTGGAGGCCACCCACCATGATTTGTTGGGGGGAAAGAACTCCAGCCCACTTGTTTATATAACTCGTATAACCTTTTTAGCTTTATGAATATATGCAATGCATGATTCGGGTACAAAGTGTATGATATAGTTCATCAACTACCAATTGGGGACTACATTAATCCAGTGAACATGAGTGAATGAATATTCGGCTGAATATGTAGGGAAGATTCAACATTATTCAAATGCAAAAGGGCACTATATATGGATTCATCAATGTCGTTACGTGATGGCCAAACGGGCAAAATGCATATTGACCATATACTAGTTGTTTCATGTATAATACTAATCATTTTATGAAATCTATAAAGATTTGGAATCAAAGTAGTGAGATACAATGGACTTTTATAATGTTTTTGTCCTCGTATCCTGTTGACAAACTTACGTATTTCATTGAAGCTGGAGTTTACTGAATTCTTGGATAAAATTATCTACGAATGTTAACACATCTTTTCACAAGAAATCATAATTAACACATACACACACACACAAAATAAATTAAATAAAAAACAAGGCACAATATCTCAATCAAAACCTAAATGCTACATAACTACACACGGTTCGGTTTTGGGGGTTGGTTTATGAAATTTTTATGCTTCATCCGATTCAAAACAATTATTTAATTTGAACTTTCATTTTTAGTCTAAAAAAAAAAATTCAGAATAGAGGAGTATGAACCAAGAAACAGTCATGATTCCTTATAGCAGACAACTAGATCTGTTCGTTGTTTAAAACGGCAGGAATTAAGGATTATTAATTAATTTAGGAAATTGGATACGCCCCTAAAGTTAACTAATGAATTAATTGCTATGGAATGTTTTCTTCTGGCTAGCGATAAGTGTCTCTTTATATGCCAAATGTGTGAAAATCGTTGTCATTATATCAAATAACATCACAAACAATCTCATTCTTCTATTCCTTCGGGATAAAAGTTAAATGCATTAGGAAACTTCCATTTCTGCTTCTTCATTTGGCATTAGATATTCGGTTTTCAAAATCATTACCTTATTTAAATCGATGTTACCGGAAAAAATTTAGATGAGGGACAGTGGAGAGTAAATAATAATAAAGAGGATAATACTTTTAAATAATTTATATCAGAGACATAAAGATTTAATTATACAATTAACATGACTTTAGAACTTTGAATGATGTTTTGTCATTTCATTTTTCGACACATACATTAGAATCTATTATGAAAACAATATAAATGATAATATTTAAATATTAATGTAGAAAAATAAAAAACCTACATGATGAAAATATATTTTTATTTAATTTAAAAAAGAAAGATTATTATTTCCTAATTTATAATAGGAGATTTTACTTCTAGTGTTTTTCCAAATATACAATTTTTTTCTTACTTTCACGTCAACTGACTTGAGATTGTGTGATTTTTATTTTTTTTATTTCAGAAATTCACACTTGAAACGACACATTTTACAAGAGTTTAATCACATATTGCATCCTACGTCAGTGAAAAAGTTAAAATTTAATAACATAAAAAACTTTGTGTTGTTGAGTTTCTTCAGTCGAGGAAATATGCACATATATAATTGTTTTAACCATTTTAGTATCGTTATATTAATGATAACACAGAAAAATAAATAAAATAAGCTCCCAAAATATGTAAATTCTTGTAATTAGGATTCTTTTTTAAAAATATAGTTAAAGTCATGTTTTTTTTTATTGAATTGTTGCGTCTCATATACAAATTATTCGGAAGTATTGCCCTTTTAATATATGTTCTCTTCTATCTCTCATCCAAATTTTTCTCTTCTTTCCCCCGGAAAACAAAAATTTACATAGAATTATTCAATCACTAATGTATGCTCGGATTTTACAGTAAAATTTATGGGACAATTAGTGACAAAATTTTTGCTTAAAAAATGGCTAAGAATATAAGAAATTGTGCATTATTATCTAAAGCATTTGGTTTTGTCATTTTCAATATAACCCAAAAAAAACATGATACTCCGACCGGCGACCTTTTCCCAAAAGAAAATTCTTCGGTTGTATTATTAATGTTGAAACATATATGATTTTTATTATTTTAGAACTGAAGTAATATAACAAATGTACGAAAATAGATTACTAATCGCCAAAACATAGCAATTAGATATATTTATATATATATATATTTTAATTCAATAATTATCTTGCATGTTTCCCACTTTTAAGTTTCTACCCACAATCCTACATTCTCGTAAACACTTTTGGCGGGCCTTTAGCCGAGCGATGGGGCCCTCTTTACCGCCACAAAGCTAGATTTCCCGCCGGCCTTATGTTGCCGGCTATCTGGGGCCCTTATTCTGGTTCAGTCGAACCGGCCGGTTTGGCATTCGATGCCAAATGTATAATAAAAAGATTGGAAACCTGAATTGACCTTAATGTCCTCCTCAGTTTTTCACAAATTTAACACATACAGCAATGACCAAAACCCCAGTGATGCATTTTCTCATCAAAATGTGCAAGCATTATATCAATCATGCTTCCCACAATAAAAGTTTTGATTGAATGAATTGTGTTTTGAGTCCTACCAAATCTTTTAATGATCATCCTAATTGATAACATCTACCATAACTATAAATTCATTATACTATATGTTATCAACGCCATCATATGCTATTTGTTGTCAAACTTCACAATTCATTTATCGCAGTTATGACATTATGACACTGTCGATATTTTATTATGGATATTGTGACGTCCATTCAAAAATATTCCAAATAATCATTACAATATGCCATCCAATTAAAGGTAATGATATATAGCTAGTAATCAATGGAAAACATAAGATTGTGAGAAGCTATAATAATTACTCTTCAAATCATTAAAAGAGATGTTAATAAGATAAATAATAGATTATTTAATTTTTAATGGCGAAGATTTAAGTTATTTAATTAATCTCCTTTGGCCATTAGTGGTATTATTAGATGCATCTAATTTGACTAGTGTTATAATTCGCTGTTTAAAGAATAGCCTGAGATAATCATTGTGGCATGTTAAACCTTTAAATCTTAGTAAAAGAAACATTGCCTTTTGATTCCATTTTACTTTTTTGGGGGGTTAATGATGAGAACAATCTTCTCATTCTACGAACAAATTAATTGATTTGTCGTTCCAAAATTGTTCGTTATGTATAGTTCGCATCTAACTGGATTTTCTGGTTTGTTTTATAATCACGAGGAAGAAAATAATACATGAAGGAATAAGTTCATGTAATATTTTCGACACTGGGTATGTAATTCATAATTTCGCGAGTTCTTGGCAAAATGTAAAAAATTGTAAATTATTAAATTGGTTCACGACATATTCATTGATACGATGTTTATTCTAAAAAATATAATATCGTAAATATAAAACATTACACCAATTTTATATCTATAGAAATGTTCAATCTAATTTATCCGTAGAAAATTAGAAAAAAAATATTTAAACAAGTCGACCATTATTATATCTTACACCGTAATATATACAAAGCCAGAAAAAAAATCCTATGCACGAAGAGCAAGATACGTGAAACAAAAATGTAATGCCTCAATGTAATCGCAAAATCTCATGTTGTTTTTTCAGAGAATTCAACCGATCATCTTCTAAAAAAAATAAATTTTCGTCCACTTCGTATAATTTTGAGATAAAGAAGATCTTCAATTCTACAACGTGAATCCAACACTTATTTTATTATATTTTTTTAACTTCAATTATCTTTTTTGTGTGGAATTAACTTTAATCATCTTTACCAAGTATTCTTTCCGTCTCAAAAATGATTATCTAATTTTGATTTTATTTTTAATACAAAATTATACTAAAAGTGAAAATCCAAACATGAAAATCATTTTAAGATAAATCATTATCTTTTCATATCGATGCCTCATGACCATTTTCCGTCAACAATGCATGTTCAATTTTTATATTAGTCCATATACATATTATACAATAATCCCGTGATTTCAATCGTTGCTACATAAAATTCTTAAGGAGGTTATGTTTCTACATAAATTTGAGTGGCCCTAAAAACTAATTTTCATCTTTCAAGGACAATGCCATGTAATGGAAGATTTTGAGGGCCAATTTTTGTTCCTGTCAATAGTAAGGAAAGAAAACAAAATAAAGAAAGAAAGAAAAAACCCAAAGGTATGAACAAGGGCAAATTGGGAACAAAAAAACCTCAACAGAAGGGGGAAAAAAAGAAACCAAAAAAAAATTAGGTGCAGTCTCCCACTCTAAAACAGGTAAAATATGAACCATCAAAGGAAGCCGAAGCGCAAGGCTAGGAAGCAATCCTTGCTATACTTTCTCCATTTGCTCTTCCCTCCTTCATTTCTCTCTTCTTCTTTTCTTCTATTTTTCTATATACACCAACAAAAAAAAAAAAAAAAGGCAAAACCAAAGCCCCAAACCTAAAAAATAGAGGCAAAAAATTCATTCATCTTTGATCAGAACAGAGATCAAAAGAAAGAACCCACATTCCTATTTTTCATTTTAATTTTTTTGAATTCTCAATATTGAAATTGGAAAAGATAGTCCTTTTTTTTCTTCTCTCTTTTTTCCCTCCCACCTTTCTGTTCCTCCTCTATAACTGCCCCTCCATTTTCTCCATCATGCATTAACTTCCCTTCACGGGCGAACCCCTGTTTGTTTCTTGCATTCTACATACACGTAGAGAAATCCCAATTTGCCAAAAGGGCAGTTTTTTTTTTAATTTAGGCATGCAATGTTGGTTGTCTCTGAAGCCAAATTTTGGTTGATGAAATTCTTTTGACAAGAAAGTTTCTTTCTTTTTCTTTTCTTTTTTGGGATAAAGGATCAAGATTGGATTTTTTTGGTTTCTTTTTCTTGCTGGGTCTTTTTTTTTCTTTTGAGGAGAGTAATGGCGACAGAAGAATTGCTGCAGTTTTCTGTGGCTTCTATGGTGGAGAATGTTCTCCAACAGCATGGGAAGCGGCTTTATGACATTGATTTGGCTTCAAGAAAGGCAGAGGAAGCTGGTATGTTGGAATTATCAAAAAAAATGGCTATGTTTTTGGCTACTGCATTCCTATCTGTTTGGCCTAATGACATTCTTAATCTCGTGTTTCTTGATTTTCTTTATCCTTCCGTCTTGAAACTTTGTTTTTTGGGAAGCATTGATTCATCATCTTTTTGGGGTTGAAAGCTAAATTGCCCTAAAGTTAAACCTATGTTTGATAATGATAATGGGTTGATACTGCCGCTACAATGGACAATAAATTTTTAATATTATCTGTGATTTCCACTCTGTCTTCCTTAAATTGGAATGATCACATCAAAATTCCTTCCTTTTTAGTTATGAGTTGTCTGTTGCATGTAACTTTAGTAGTTGTATATGGCTTGAACTTATTATTGTTTTCTGTTGATGATGCCTGAGAGGAGGAGGATTGATCATGGTGATCTTTGTGTCCTGTGTTGCAGCATTGAGAAGAAATGAAGCGGCTGGCTGGTTAAGAAAGACAGTTGGAGTAGTTGGAGGTAAGGATTTGCCTGCACAGCCTTCAGAAGAAGAGTTTCTACAGGGATTGCGAAGTGGGATTATACTTTGCAATGTGCTTAACAAGGTTCAGCCTGGTGCTGTGCAAAAAGTATGGTTAATTCTGCTTTATTTGGTCACTGTTTACTTGTGAATTTTTAGGATCATGGCTTTAATTTGCTGAGAAGATTTTTTTATCTGTGTTCTGATTTTAGGTGATTGAAGCGCCTTCTGATACTGTTATCATTCCTGATGGGGCAGCTCTTTCCGCTTATCAGTACTTCGAAAATGTTAGGAATTTTCTTGTAGCTATAGAGGACATGGGACTGCCTACTTTTGAAGCTTCTGATTTGGAACAGGTAAAGGAGTCAATTTAGTAGTTCACAATTGCTGTCACTTTCAAATGCATCATTATTTTCTTTGTACATGTACTGAAGACTCTTAATCCAATGCCATTTATCACGATTATAATTCTCTTTTGTGTTCTGAATTATTTCCCATGTGTTTAATTCATAGGGAGGAAAAACTTCCAGAGTAGTAAATTGTGTGCTAGCGTTAAAGTCATACAGTGACTGGAAACATGGAGGTGGGATTGGATTGTGGAAATTTGGAAGTGTCAAAGCCACTGCTTCCGGGAAGCAATTTGTATTGAAGAATTCTGAACCTTTCATGAACTCAATATCAAGAACTTCATCTAGTGAGAAGTCCCTTGAGAGGTCTGCTAGTGAACAGTTATTGCTCAATGATTTTGGGTCAGAAAATGGTGAAATGGTCAGTGAGCTTAAACTATACCAAACTCCGGTCTTCTTATTCTGTGTGGATAAGTTTTGAAGTCTTCACTACTTCCATTTCAGGGTAATCTTTCTTTAAATACCTTTGTCCGGGGTGTTCTTTCTGATAAGAGACAAGAAGAGATCCCAATGGTAAGTATAAAAAAGTTATTTCACATGTGGTATTATTTCCTGTGTTTATAGTCCAAAGCACTTCGGAGATCCTGCAGAGGAGCATTTTCCCTATGTGAATGATCCCGTTTAGCTAGGCGTCAAATAAGAGAATTCTCTGACATTGATAGAGAAATTTGATGGACATCACTGAATCTGCGTTGCTTACTGATTTTTCTTTCTTTTTTTTTTTTTCAATGACAATGATAATGTGATGAACTATCTATTGTTGTTGCTTTCTTGCATCCTTATGCGATGCCCCTCTTTAATTATTCACTATGTTCCTGCATTTCTAAGTTGAAAATGTCCTCCTTCTGTTACAGGTTGTGGAAAACATTCTAAGTAAACTTATGGAGGAATTTGAACGACGATTAGCGACACAAAGTAATCAAGTAAGCTCTATAAAGTCATTCTTACATCTTTCGTGCTGGTCCCTTGACTTTTTATTGATCACTGCTTTGTGTTGGTGTGATATCTCGATTGTACTTGTTTGTTCTATAGTTATTTTTTGGGTTTTTTTTTTTTTTTTTGTACAGTCAAAATAACTACTGACGAATTTTATGCTTTTGATTTTTCACAGGTAAATGCACCATGTTCTAATGGATCTCTTACCCCGATAAAATCACCATGTTCTAATGGAACTCTCACACAAACCTCTGCTGCTGAGGTATGCTTATGTTAATTGGGTTCGTTATATTCAGTTGATACTCTAATGTTGTAGGTTTCTGAACTTATGTAGAACGGACTCATTCCAGATTTGTTGAAGTTGGATCACAACTTCTGTCCTCTTTTTTTTTTTTTTTTGGTGGGTTAACATGTTTTCTCTTTTCATATCATCGAGGTTCACACATATTCTTTTTCGTTTATTCTTTTGATTCAATTAAGATGGAAATTTGCACACCGTCAACAACATATGAAGAAAATGGTCCCCGAGAGATAAACACTGAAGAAAATATGCACACCGTCTACAACAATGGCAATTTGAACACCCAAATCCAGAGGCAGTTGTTTTTAGTCGAGAAACAGCATGGCGAGATTCAGGTATCTAGCTTTATGACAATAAAAATCTCCCCACAAGTGAAATAAGGTTCTCAGCAGTATCACACTCGATCAATGTAGGTATTAAAGTCTACGATGCTATTGACAAAAGCAGACTTGAAGAATCTGCAAATGAAGTACAATGAGGAAATCAACTATCTAGGTAAACGTCCCAACTCATTTTCATTGTTTTCTACTAATGGACTGTTTAATAGGGAATTGAAGAAAACTTAAAAAGAAGCTATTGAGTCACTGCTCAATTCCTTTTATAGGGGCACACCTTCGTAGCCTCGCTCATGCTGCTTCAGGTTACCAGAGAGTTTTAGAGGAAAATCGGAAGCTTTACAATCAAGTGCAGGACTTGAAAGGTAACATTTTCTAGGCTTATTTGCAGCTGAATTATTTTCATTAGATGGTGGCACATCTTGCAATCGTACTTCAACAAACATTTTAACAGGAAACATAAGAGTATACTGTCGTGTAAGACCTTTACATGGGCAAGTCAGGGGATTCGGTTCTGTGGAACACTTGGATGAAGGGAGTATTACAATCACTACTCCTTCAAAGTATGGAAAAGAAGGGAAAAAATCATTCACTTTCAACAGGGTTTTTGGTCCGTCTGCAAGCCAAGGTCATTTGATGTTCCCCATTCACATTTAATTCCAAGCATACTATGTTTATAATACTATTTAGGTAACTAACTTTTTTGCGTTATGGTGGACTGCCACAAACAATTATACAGAAGAAGTATTTTCCGACACCCAACCTTTGATCCGATCTGTCCTTGATGGTTTCAATGTGTGTATATTTGCATATGGTCAAACAGGATCTGGAAAAACACACACAATGGTAACACTCTTACGAAAGTCGTCAACTCCATTTGTTTTGGAAACCTTTTTTGAGTTTTAGGCTTAAAAATAATTTTTGTCATTCAACAGAGTGGACCTGATGTTCTTACACCGGAGACCATGGGTGTGAATTACAGGGCATTGAACGATTTATTTCTGATCTCAGAACAGAGAAAAGATATCTTCTTGTATGATGTATCTGTTCAGATGATCGAAATTTACAATGAACAAGTCAGAGATCTTCTGGCGACTGATGGCCTTAATAAAAGATATCCTTTGCATATTTTCTTGCCTGCAAATTGTTCACATTTTTTCTTTGTTTTTTCCCCCCTGAAATCAAGTTTGTGTCGTACATAATTTGAAACCTTAACTCCATCAAACATTAGAAATCCGAAACAGTTCCCAAAGCGGTCTAAATGTGCCGGATGCAAACCTTGTAACTGTAACATCTACCTCTGATGTTATTAATTTGATGAACCTTGGACAGAAAAACCGTGCAGTTGGTTCGACAGCTATGAATGATCGCAGTAGTCGTTCTCATAGGTATATCTTCTGATATCAGATGGTTTACTGAAAACTTTTGATTTGATTCATCATTAGTTGCCTATGTATGTGCTATCATTCATTATCATTTACATGAGGTAAATTTTATGCAGCTGCCTTACTGTTCATGTTCAAGGGAGAGACTTGGCTTCTGGTGCAGTTCTTCGTGGTTGTATGCATCTTGTCGACCTGGCCGGAAGTGAAAGAGTTGACAAATCCGAGGCAGTAGGTGAGCGATTGAAAGAGGCTCAACATATAAATAAGTCTCTTTCCGCTCTTGGTGATGTTATTGCTTCTCTTGCCCAAAAGAATTCACATGTTCCATACAGGAACAGTAAGCTCACGCAATTGCTCCAAGATTCACTTGGTAAGTTTTAGGTTTGGTCTTATCATCGAGACTCGAGAGTTCCACCACCTTTCTTGTTATGCTTACTTTATACTTGGCATTTATGTTTTCAGGTGGGCAAGCGAAAACTCTTATGTTTGTTCACATCAGTCCAGAATATGATGCGATAGGAGAAACACTAAGTACTCTTAAATTTGCTGAACGGGTTTCTTCAGTTGAGCTTGGCGCTGCTCGAGCAAACAAAGAGACTGCTGAAGTGAAGGATCTAAAAGAACAGGTCTTTGTAAAAATTTGATAACTGAAAATGAATTACATTATAGCTATTCCTTTATTTGTTTCTTTAATACATTCTAATAAAGCAGATGAACTTTCTAATATTGTCTTATCCATAAACTTGACTGGAGCCACCATTTAAAGCTATGACATTTATCATTCTTCATAACAGTAGTTGTGATGGTTGTGTGGTTTTCAACTATATAATTGGAACAAATTTATAGTTGGCTGATTTTTTATATTTTTTATTTTGGTCAACATAGCGAGCTGATTGCACTTTCCTCTCTTTCATGGTTTTCAGATTGCTAATCTCAAGGCAGCTTTGGCAAAGAAGGACGGTGAAGCTATGCGCACTCCAAATTCCTTATCTACCATGTCGTCTGCCGGGTCTTCACCTTCACGTTATAGTTGGCAGAGTTTGAATATCTCTAGTGATAACTTGGAGGTATGAATCTGTGTCTTTTGCCATGTATGATTCATAGTATTTGTAAGCCATGCTGCTTGATGTCATCAAAGATGTTGGTTATTTGTCCAGAATTTATTAGGATCGTTTCTGTTTTCGAAAAAAAAGGAAAGGATCGTTTCTTTCAGGGACAGCAAGGGATGCCTCTTAGTTTCAGCACTTGTTTTCTTTGTATATTTTTGGTTACTGTACTCTTTTCTGGTGGAACAAAACTATTGTTGGTTGTAGAATTGAACTGCTTGGATGTTTCATGAATAATGTATTGAGGAATTGATTTTTAACAATCGGGCTCTTGTCAACAGATGAAGAACAGCTCATCGAAGCCCAAGAGGAGAAGCCTAGATCTCCAGGACTTGTTGCTATCACCCCCTTGGCCGAATGTTGGAAGCTCCCCCGGCTCAAAGGATTATGAGAAAGAAGCTATTAATGGTGACTGGGTGGATAAAGTCATGGTTAACAAGCAAGATGGTGATAGGAGAGACAGCCTAGGATCATGGGAAGATGATGCTTCTACAAGACAGTCCCCTGACACGTTCTACCAGAAGCTCAATGGTCGAAATCAGGTAGTCACTGATGATTCAGATGAGCTAGAAGCTACAACAAGTGATTCTTCTGAGCAGGATTTCCATTGGCAATCCAACAATGCTCAGAAAGCAAGTAGCATCCCCAACGGGATCGGATCAAAGTTGAAAAGACCTAGCTTGAAGCATGCAAGGACTATGGAAATAAAGTATGTTCCATTTCTTCAGACTCACTTCTATTTTCACTCACAGATTAAGGAAAAGTAGCTACATATATATGCAGCATTTGTGTTAAACCTTTGCTTTATGATGTTATCAGGAGTTCGATACCACCGCCACCCACAAGAAGACTGTCCACTTCTCCATCATTGCCTAAGTTGACAGGGAGACAAGCATTTTCTGCAGATGGCAAAAGAAAACCATTGAGTGGAAAGTGAGCAAAACTGCAGCTTTGGGATATTAGCAAGGGCAGAAAGAGAAATGCACAGCCCTTTCTTCCCTTTTTTTTTTGTTTTTGTTTTTTTTTTTTGTTTTTTTGTAAATATAAGCTTTCTTGGGGGAATTTGTTAATGCACAGAAGCAAAGAACAGAGGTGAAAATAGTCCCCTGAAAGAAAAATTGGGGAAACAAAAGAAAATGAAAGGAAACAGAAAAAGTTGAATTAGTTTCAGGGAGTGATCAGTGGTGATCTTGGATAAATTTTTGGTGGCTCACTGGTGAGTGTTGTACAGTTGTTTGGTTAGTTCTGTGGATTTCTCTTATTTTTGCTTTTCTTTTTGTTACTTTTAATTATTCTTTTATTTTTATCGAAATTTGAAAAGAAATAAATGAAAAGAAGACAACAAGGTTTATACAAAAACACTGTTTGTACCAATTTTCTGTCCTGTTATCAACTATCATCGTATGCTATCGTTTTCTTTTTCCAACCAATTTTGTGGTAATTTCTTTATATAATACTCCCTCCGTCCCATAATTATTGTCCAGTTTTACTAAAATGAAAGATTTTTTTTTTTGTCAAACTTAACTATATTTTACCTTAAACAACCGGATATACTCTTACATAAGTAATTGTTTAACCACTAAGATTTTATGGATAATGCTTTTTACTAAGGACAAATGTGTAACTTGATCCATAAAAAGTCAAATTGGACAATAATTTTGGGACAAAATTTTTTGGGCAAAGTGGACAATAATTATGGGACGGAGGGAGTAATATATAATATATAATATATATATCTTCCCTATATTATAGAAACATAAATTTATAAAGGAGATAGAAATGCAAAACCAAACAACAGATTGAAATGCCCCTCACTTTCTTTGTCCCACCTATATCATCCATCAATTAAATAGTTATTCGTCTCAAAATATTTGTCCTTGCTTATTACCACTATTTGTTAATTATGGAGTAAATTACTCCCTCCGTCTCATAATTATTGTTCATTTTGGGTTTTCATTTCTAGTTCAAATTGTACTAAAAGTAAAATCTTAAACTGGACAATAATTTTAGAATAGAGGAAGTAATTATTAAAATAAGAACATTTATGGCAATTCACAACAGTGACGATCAAATGCCCGCCAATCCTTATACAGTTATACCCAAAGGCAGCTTAACTCAATAACAGAGATGATTCCTGTTGTAGTTTGCTTGGTGGGAACTTTACTTATTTTTGATACAGTTTCTGGCATTATCGAAAAGAAAAACATATAACGATTGATGGATTGATCATAGACGGCTAAAAATATTCTATAACCATTTAAATTAGTGTATTGATTAGTGCCCACTCAAACTTTCACGCTTCATCAAAAGATTTGACAAACTCCAATGCATTTTGAATTTGTAAAACATAGGTAAAAGAACTATACATGCTTGACAGATAATTTATCCGTCGGTTTGAAAATTCAATTATAAACCCCCTACAAATATGAATTGATTACCGATTTGAACGGTTCCATCAGTTTGATCCAAATCATGAACCTAATCATTCGATTAAAGGAACTTTCGTTTTATAGCCTAATTTTGGTTTGTTTTGTTGTTTGTTTTCCTTTAAAATATATATATATATTTTGATCGCATGATGAATGGGGTTTTCATTTTTATCCTGCAAGAATAACAACCTGACTAAAGCTTGAAGACGTAAATGTCATGGTCGAACGGCTCCACCCCAGACCATTTTAATGTCTTTTGGTCCTATCTTTTTTTTTTTTTCTTTTTATTTTGTTTTCAGTTTTTGTACTGAATCGATTATGTATTTTTCACCACGATCTGAATGTAAACTAATCTAGTGAAGTTAAAAAGTAAAAAATTGAAAGAAAATATTCTTTTACTAGTATTATATAGATTTCAATTGTGTATCACAATTAAAAATAGAAAGAAAACCACTAACTGAAGTGCATATTATATAACCCTTGGTTATGCACTCACTACTACTTGAAATAATCAACCCTTTTGAAGAATTAGCTGCCGGTATGGAAATTCTTTACTAATTCTGTCCAAATTGAATATGACAAGTTTTGTCATACTTGAGAAATAAGAAAAAACTAACTATTGTACAACAAATAGTAACAACATCAATGTTTGAATATGAAGATTAATGATTTATCAAACAAAATACTTTCTCTGTTCTAAAATAATAATTTAATTTCAATTTTTACGTATTATACAATTTGTACTATAATAGAATATCCAAACTGAATAATCATGTTGATTATAGAGTTTTGTTTAAACTAAACCAACTTTTGAAGATTTAGTTGGTTTGTGATTAGACTTTTTGTTGGATGATTTTACACCAAGATTAAACTACGTGGAAAAGAATTGTTCCCTCTGTCCAAAAAAAAAAAAAAAACTACATTGAGTTTCATGATTTATACTAAAAACAATATAAATGTCAAAACTTAATGTGATTTTTTTTTTGAGACAAAGGTAATATTATTTTTATGAATTTTTAAAAGTACAATATATTTCCCTATTAAATTAAGACAAATTGATCTTCAAATGATAATAATCTTATGAATAATCTAATTGTTTTCTATTTTGACTTACCCACACTTACCAGCTGGTTTCAATTAGCACTAATTGTTAACAAAATGAAAATCCAATAATAGTATTTGAATATTTTAGGATAAAATTTTGAAGTAGACTTCTTCTGAAGGGGGGCATTAGACAAAATTATAAAATTTGCTTTCAGGGCCCACTCTCCCCGCGTCTTCTTTCCCCCCCCATTTCCCCCTATTTCTTGATTTTATTTTATTTTTAATCTCCTCCTCCAATTTAGGTCTGAGTTTCAGCCTTTTCTCTCTCACACACACACACAGTCTCACGCACTCACACACTCAAAAGGCTTGCTCACACGTTTTCTCTATCCCTTTCTCTTTCTCACTCACTCTCTCTCTCTCTAGGGTTTTCCATAATTTTCAACAATTGAATCCAGCTCATAATTACTCATAAACTACTGGAGACCATTGTATATTACCATTAATCTTCAGCATTACTCCTCTTCAATTGGATGTCTCTCAATGCCTGTAGTGTAAGTCCCTTTTCTACTTTTTGCCTTCATGTTTATGTGTGGATGAAGGAATTGCATTTTGTGATTTGATTTGTTGTTTTTTGGTGTTTCTTCTTCCCTTTTTAATGGAATTGAGCACTTCAGGAAAAGTGTTTTGAAGTGACATTGTGAATTGGGATTTTGTTGTTGTTGTTGTTGTTGTTGTTGTGATTTACTTTCTGAAATGAGCTGCTTTTAGTTCACTGTTTGGTGATTTTGGGATGATTGGTTTTGCGAATTTCGTGGAATGCTGTTGAATTAGCTGAAGGGGAACGGTCAATTTTCATGTAAAAAGCAAAGGAAGGAGGAAAATGGCTTGAGTTTTTGTTTGTTTTTTTGATTTCTTTCTCTTTTCTCGTGATTGTGTATTAATAGGGATGGGAACATGAGGGATTTGCAATTCTGGGGCGAATTATAGAATGAGCCAAGCGGAGGTTCCAAGGATGAAGCAAAAGCCGGCAGCTCTTGTTCCTCTCGGTACTTTGATTGGTCGTGAGCTCAGAAATGAGAAAGTTGAGAAGCCTACTGTGAAGTATGGGCAGGCTGCTCTCGCCAAGAAAGGGGAGGACTATTTTCTGATCAAGCCTGATTGCTCAAGAGTTCTTGACAATCAGTCTGTTCCTTTTTCGGTTTTTGCGGTAATTACACCATTCAGATCCGTCTTTTCAGTTTATACTTTCGGCGAGTTCTTTCCTTGTCTCATCAATTCGGATTTTGGTTTACAGATATTTGATGGACATAATGGCATATCAGCTGCTATCTTTGCAAAAGAGAATCTTTTGAACAATGTTTTGAGTGCTATTCCTCAAGGACTCAGTAGGGAAGAATGGCTTCAAGCCCTACCCCGGGCATTGGTTGCCGGTTTCGTGAAAACTGACATAGAATTTCAGCAAAAGGGTACGTATCCTTGTATCCAAACCTTGGAGTGAAGGATATTTGTATTATTGGGCTTAATGAGCTTTTTTGTTTATTGTTTTTCTGAAGTTTTATTTTCAATGTCATGTGTATACAGGTGAGACATCAGGAACAACTGTCACATTTGTGGTGATTGATGGATGGACTGTGACTGTTGCATCAGTTGGGGATTCTCGTTGCATATTGGACACCCAAGGGGGTGTGGTTTCGCTGTTAACAGTTGATCACCGATTGGAGGAGAATGTTGAGGAACGGGAACGTGTAACTGCTAGTGGCGGTGAAGTGGGAAGGCTAAACGTCTTTGGAGGCAATGAGGTGTGGGCAATAAGTTGGTCTTTCTTTAGTTGTGTGGTAGAGATTTTGCCTAATAGAGATTGAGAGTATCATAGTTAATTCTGAGAAAGTCTTCTTTTTGAATGTTAAGGTTGGCCCACTGCGCTGTTGGCCTGGTGGATTGTGTCTTTCGAGGTCAATTGGTGATACGGATGTTGGGGAATTCATTGTCCCGATTCCTCATGTTAAGCAAGTGAAGGTTGGTGATATTTGATTCGATAATCTTTCTTATTCTCTGCTTGGATAGTTCATAACAGCACTTATCCAATTTCCAGCTCTCTAATGCTGGAGGAAGACTTATTATTGCGTCTGATGGTATATGGGATGCACTATCATCTGATTTGGCTGCACAGTCTTGCCGGGGCTTACCAGCTGACCTTGCTGCTAAACTTGTTGTTAAGGTGGTGTTGGATGAAATCTATTATCTGATTCCTTCTTAATTTCTCAATTCGTTCTTCCACCTTTCTGTTCTATTTCTCACTAGTTTTTCTCTTATCTTTTTTCCATGCAGGAAGCTCTTAGGACACGAGGTCTTAAGGACGATACAACCTGCTTGGTTGTTGATATTATTCCATATGACCATCCTGTCCTGCCCCCAACTCCGAAAAAGAAACGAACATTGCTGAATTCTCTTTTTGCTGGGAAGAGATCTAATTCTATGAATAAAGGTAGTAAACTCTCTGCAGTTGGGGTTGTGGAGGAATTATTTGAAGAAGGCTCTGCAATGCTTGCTGAAAGGTAATCCAACTGACGAGCTTGTGATGCTTTTGTTCTGTATTAGTCCTTCCAAAAAGAGTATTCTTATGGTATTTCTTATGGAATGATCATCTTCTCGATAATCATCTAGACAAGTTACTTATGGACGTTAATGTTTTACAAAGATAAAGGCTACAGAAATGCATGTCAGTGAGTTTTTCTGAGTAATGATTGCAATTCCATTGCTTGTGTGTTGTTGAGCTAGAACCTAGATGAATAAAGCCCTTTTTTTTGGCTGAATCATGGTATAGTTGAAGGCTGTCAATTTTGTATTAAATAGATGGCCTTTGGACATAGGAGTACTAAGTGTATGAAAGTATTTTATTATTCAATTAATATTGTGTTCAGTAATCTTGCATTGTGCATGTGATTTTTCCTAGCTGCTCTCTCCCTCCCTCACTAGTGGCTTTCATCTGTTTACCATATGCAGCCTGTTCTATTATTTAGCTTGGGAGGCTAATGCGTTTTCTGTTTTTCAGGTTAGGTAAAGATTTTCCTTTGGATCCAAACTCGGGGCTCTTCAAATGTGCAATCTGCCAGGTGGATCAGCAGCCGGGTGAGGGTTTGTCTGTAAACTCGGGACCCTTCTTTTCACCTTCATCAAGGCCCTGGGAAGGACCTTTCCTTTGTGCAACCTGTCGTAGGAAGAAGGATGCAATGGAGGGGAAAAGGCCTAGCCAACCAACAATAACTGCATAATCAGCTCCTGAAGTATATATGGCCATATTTTTTTGATTTGGTGGTATGAGCTGACTCATTTTGCGACTGCCTGGGTTACTCTTATATAGGTTTTGTGTAAGGAATGCTGTAGTGATATTATGAGTTAAGTAGATAGTTTTGTCGGAGTGGTAGAAGTGTGTGTTGATGATTCCTGTTTGTGCTCAGCTGTTTGACTAACTGACATGGAAAAGACCTACTGATTATATATATATATGCTCTTCATTAGTATGAACTGCTAACAGTTGGAATTTTTATGTAAAGAACGAACCATGGGAATGATATTCTATGCGAATTTTGCAGTTTCCCCCATTTGATTTCAGTTATTTTCTTTCCCCTCTGTTGGAAAATGCTTTGGATTGTAAAATTTGAATGTTGTGATATAATGTTGCTGTAAAGCCTGCAAAATGTCTACTTATTACACATCCAGTTCTATAAAGAACGTATACTACACGTAAAAATAAACTTGTACGATAATTGCAGAGAAATATTTCGGAACAAAATCGTAGATTTATTGAAGGCATCCCTCTATTTTTTAAATACAAAAAATAATCATTATTATGATTCTTGGAGTTGGAAGACATTGTTAAAGTCAATGCAAAGCAGGTTTAGAATTTTGCCGATTCATTTGACAAATTCAGGAGTTAAGGATATATTGTGCAATCTTTGTCACTGTCGGAAGGTAGTATTTATCCATCTAAGCAATCAATCACCATCTCAAGTTGAGGGAGGGGCTAAGGCTTGGATTGGTGATGGATCTTCTTCATTCTTTAAAAGATTTTGGAATACTGAAGTCCAGCTGTATGATTCCCTTTTATAACTGTAAACGGATTGTAAGGATATTGCAATTTGCAACTTGCAATTTGTAAGCCATGTGCCTCTGTCGATTTGTGTGTGTGCGTGTGAAGAAAAATGTCTTTGATGTTTTGTGAGTGGGACCTTGTTTGTTTTCAATTCCAGTGATTCTCCATAATTTGATGCCTGCTCAAATGTCCTCTTGTAAATTTTCATTTTTCTTTTGTGGAATCCAGAATTTCGGATTGGTCTCAATGAATATGTTTGTTTGGATCGTTTTTTAATGTGCGTTTTTAGGTGTTTTTAAGTATACTATGTACTCTCTCTAGTTTTACAATGATAAAATATAAGTTTGAACTAAACTGAATGTTAAGTTGTGCTTTATACTAATTTTTAGGACTAAATGAAATATTCATTTATAATATTTAAAATATTACTCTCTTTGTCCCAAAAAAATAGTCCACATTGAGGCTTCAAATTTGTACAAAAAACAGTACAAAACTCAAAGTAATATATTTTTTTGGGACGGAGGTACTAATATAAAAGAGAATTTTGGAGTAAATATAATATAATAGGATACACATAATTAAAAATGAATAAGATGTGACTGGAATATCCACCTCCAAAGTGAGATGACTTTTGTTGTAAAAAAAATGAACACATGTGTAAAATAGTTGATATTTATGAAAAATTCTGTAGTGCAGTTTGCAATTTTAATAGCACCATACAATCATATGATAAACAATTAAAGATTGACACTTGTATGCGAATTAAAGAAAATTTCCTAATTAACAGGGTCAACAGGTCACTTTAAACGGATAAAATACTAAGATATAGCCAATGCAATGGCTTAAGCCATGGCCTAATGGCTTCCATTGTTTCTTTTCTTTTTTCTTTTTAATTAAATGTAGCAATATTTCTAGTAAAAAATAAATTCTGATACATTATATGTTATGTGATAAGATGTGAATTTTAGTTTCTTATGAGATATATGTGTGGCACTCTGCAATTGTTTTTTATAATACTAGTGTCATAGTTTTTAGGTATAACATAGTACTATGTTTAATGTCATGACATATGGGCGGAAGTATTAATATTGAAAAGTCGATTTTTTTTTTTTTTTTGTACAAAGTATGCTAAAGAATTCATAGTAATTTATAACTGAACATCAATAAGGAATACGCAAATATAATATTTTCTTAAAGTTAAACGTAATGAATCTTTTTTAATTTATTATATGATAAACGACTTAGTTACGTGGAGCTCCAATATAATGATAAAGATATGTACAATTACCTTAACTACAAATTATGTTTGACATCATGGATATAGTAATATGTATATGTTTTGATAGATATATAATTAAAATACGTCAAAATACTTATTTCAATGGCCTATGATTTGAAAATAGAATGAGTACTATAAAATTGGTTTAACTAGTATTAAGGCTAGGTTGGCTTCAAATGGACTTTCCGTTATAGTGCATGGATCATATAAGCCATCAAAACTCTGGGGTCTATTTCTTTTAGAACAATAAAGGTCACTTTATCTAAGGTTGTGTAAAGTGTAACTGTTTTTTTCATTTTTTATACTTTTCAAATAACTAACAAATTACTTATATAACAGCGTTAAGTCTTATGTACCAGTACTTATATAACAGTCTCGTGCGCTAAAATCCTCAATATCACTACCCTCCGTAATCTTTAAATTTCACAACAAACCACTGCTAGCGGCTGAAATATTTATATATATATATATATACACACATATATATATATATATATATTTTATCGTTGCTAATGCTCATTCCCTCGAAGGATCAAGATGACTTAGATCATTTATAGAAAAGGTTTTGCAAATTTGACACTCTATTTGAAAGCATATATCTTTCAGATTTAGTTGAATTCCACTTGAAAACTGACTCATAGGAACTTCTGATGAAGACCAAGTCTTCAATGATCCACCCTCAATTATTCTTTTACTAATATTCTTATTATTTATTTTCCTTTTAGCACCATTATTATTATTATTATTATTATTATTATTATTATTATTATTATTATTATTATTATTCGTGTTGTTTTCAATAAAATGTTACGTCCATTGCATCAACACAAGCCCAAATATGTTGGCCGCCGAAGATGCTAATTTCCATAATCTCGCTTGAGCTATCGTGTCTCTATCTGAACCAGGAAAACTTCCTCCTCTAACTATTTGTTTACTTGGCCATCATCGTCATCGAAGATCTGACATCATCATCATCGATGAATTAAAGTTTTCTTTGATGTTTTAAGCAATAGCACAATTGCCATAGTATATGTCATGGCATTGAATTAATGAAAATAAAAATATATCAAAATTATGGCTTGAGCCATGGCATTGTGTAATTTATTAAATAGTTAAATTGAGATGTATTACCGGTTCCCCATTTATGACTTGGAGGGCCACGATTCTTTTTTTTTTTTTTAAATCCAAGGGTTATTATGAACCTAACAGTACCATGCAATTAAAATCACAGAAGGCATGATAGTCGTTTTCGATATTTATATTATACGTAAAATTACAAGGAACAATGCAGCTGAAAGAATCAAATTGATTGATTACTAGTCTGTTATTATTTATCTGTTCGTTCAAACAAGAAAAACTCTGAAAAACGAGATTTGAAGTAGTCTTGCAAAACTTGTAAATAGTACACGAGAATTTTGTTCAGAAAATATCCAAATACTAGAATCCAGTAGGGGTATCATATTTCAGTGCGTAGTTGTGGATTTATGCCTCTTTTCTAATAAAGAAAAATAATTAAAGTTTTTCAAGAGTTGAATATGCCAAAAGAAACAAAATTTGAAATAGTGAAAGTTCATATTAAATAGAGAAACTAAAAAAAACAAATTCCATAAAAAAACTGAAAGTTTATATTAAATAGAATAGAGAAACTAATAAAAAAACAAAAACAAATTACATCAAGATTATTGAGAATCTAGAATGTGAACAATCGTGATGACCTGACCACACTACAATCATATTTTAAATTCTTAATCTCACTATAGCAGATTCTACAACTGAGCCTATCCATAAGGATCCACGATCTTCATGAACATGACTCGCATGTCTCCACATTGCTCCAGTAGGATCTTGAGGCACTACAATAATTTTTCCATTTTGATCTAACCTTGCGATCATCCCCAATCCAGTAAAATTCGGAACTCCTCTTGAGTTCATGGCCACCCAAAAGTCACCATTCTGGTTCTTTCTGATGTTGTCCGGATTACCCGGAAGTTGTGCAAATAGTTCAATTGTTCCCGCGGATTTTTCCGGTGTTGGACGAAGCCAATATCTCAAGACTCGGCCATTAGTAGTCTCCGTCACTAAAATAAAATCACTACGCTGACTGAGGGCAACACCATTTGGAAACATGAGCCCGTTTACAAGAACTCTTACTGCTCTAGTTCTAGGATCATACACCAACAACCTTCCAGTATTATCTCTAGTGGATAAAATAGACCCATAATCTTTACGCGGATATTTTGTACTACTGTCTGTGAAATAGACAAGACCATTAGTCTGGTCGACAACGACATCATTCGTCAGTCGAAAAGGATGGCCCTGAGCCGAAGTTGCTAGTTGTGTGGCGACTCCTCCCTTAGGGCCAACTACAAGTAAACCCCTATAAGCGTCCGCGATATAAAGTTCGCCAGTTCTCTTATTAAAATCTAGCCCTAGCGGACGTTCGCATTTCTCTTCTGTTAAGGTGTGATTGTGAGATCCTTCACAACTAGTCCGAATTGGAGTGGTAACCGCAAAAGTAATCCAGCGGTTTTGGATTGAATCCCACCTTAATATTCGGCCATCAGAAACTCCGGTGTATGGGCCACAGCCGGTTGGATCGAAAGCGATACTCTCGGGTCCAGAGGCACCGGAGATTGGGAATCTTTGTATCAATCTTGGTATACGACTAGCCATGAAAGAAGCGAGTGAAGACGCAGAGATTTTATATAAACTTCACAAGATCTCGATGATTTATCTTTTGCTTCTTCTTTTAGCCTATAAGCTGGACGTAATTTGAAGAATCGCGAGAAAAGAAACCAAGCTTATTCGAGAATTGCGAGAAGAGAAGGATGGGATGATGTGAAATTAAAATAGGTTCGATCATACCATATTTATAGAGCCAATTTTGGTCTATTCCCAGTCGGGTCAAAATTGTGTTTGCACGTAGAAATCTAATTGAATCAGTGATTGGATTCATGCATGGATTCAGATTTAGTTTTTAGTAGCTCCTTTTCCATGTCTGTTTAGAATTTCGAATTGGTTCTGTTAGTTAATTATATGGATAGTGGTTTTGAATTGAGTAGCCGCAGAACCAAAGAACTTCACAATGATAATAAGATAAAAAATCCGATATCTATTGAGTCTGTAGTGACAAATACCTTGCAAAAAAGCATAAAGAAATTTCTTACCTTTCCTCCAAAAATATAAAGTATATTAGGAATCAAAGTGGCTGCGATTCTTTCTTTTTCTTCTTTGTCTGTTCAGCTGCAATATGAAGCATGTTTATTTGGATTGAACTCAGTGCTAAGAAGAGATTTCAAAAATTTCCATTATTAAACTGATAACCTTCCGGGTGGCAAATGTTCCAAACTGTCAAAATAATTGTGCAGGTGAAGTG